TTTCCTTTACACTCAATTTCGATTTTGTGAGAGGAGAGTGCTGGAGAGTGACTCGGATGTACTGGCTCTAAGTAAATTTGAATACCAACGCACCTTCGCTGTGATGTCAGTATTACGTCACTATAGGAAAAAGTACTGTTTGCGATTGTTCTCTGGTCATTCCATGACTGACTAGGGACTAACTAACTATACCTTTTCGTACTAAATGGATGGTAAGAGTCATTTAATAGAGCCAGAAAAGGCTCTGGTATTGACTACTTAACGGAACGACGAAAAAAAAAAGGAGGAGGGGGGGTGGAGTCCCGGATTCCATTCGTGGGACATCCCAAGACTTAGACATCATAAGTTCTTTAATTACCGAAATGTATCCTACTAAATCTGCGGTGTCTTCTTTGAAACGTGTTCCTCTCCCAATGCATACAAAACCGAAGAGTAATAAGTAAACGAGTGGTATTCCCGTGCACTGTTTATTGGACACTGGTAAGACGTTTCCCCTCAGCACTCGCACCTCTTCTGGTGTCTGTCGGTCGCCCCACTAGTGACTAAAGCACCTCTCCGAAAGTTTCTGTGAATCGTCTGCGCCAACAAAATTGTTGAGTGAGCCCCGTGGCAGGGCCGACGGGTTCACTGTGCAAATATAGTAGGACGGCATACGTTTCAAGTAAGGCGCTCCCCTGCACTCCACAAGTTTCGAAAATCGTTGGATCGGTCTAACAGCATCAACGATTTCGGCAGGAGCAAGATGGTGAAGTATGGGTACGATCAGACAGAGTTTATCAAGGATGTGCGCACGAAGACAGATGCGGATGGTACGTGGCTCACTAGTCGAGATTGGCAGTCCATCAAGCCCCCAGGTGGCCGGTATCTCCCGCTGAACGTGCACTCGAATCGCTTGCATGTGGGCTCTTTTTACATCAAGCCGGTGGCTTGTTTCGTGCCACATCTTCTGTCAGGAGTAATGCCAACCTGCCCCCACTGCAAATGCAACAAATACATTGACATTGGGCGCTCTAGATGGATTGAGTCGCCCAAGATTCTCTTTGGTATTGACAGTCACCGCTACCTTGATACGAAACTGTACTACTGCCGAAACTGCACCAAGCATTTCAATGGTTTTAACAAGACGTCACTGCAGCTGGATTCACATCTCTGGGTTGGCTTGTTTGACTTCCATCTCACCGATACCTTTGCTGTTGATGCACAACTCTACAGTGACATCATTAACTCGACAGATCAAACCTCTACAGCTATAGCGAAGAAGTATGCTCAGAGAGTATTTGACAAGTATGTGAGCGATTTTCACTACTATCTTTATGCTGTGCGAGGAAACAAAGTGAGAGCAGAAAGGACCGATGTAAGCAGTGCTGACAGGACACAGAGGACTTTGGATGATATGGTTGCACCGCCCACCCAGTTAACAGACATGCAGATGACAGTGTCGACATTGCAGAGACTTCTAAGGAAAGCCAAATTCCACCAAAGTCATACAGACGCCATGGTAGAAGATGACCTCGATTTCAAGGACGTCGTGTCACGCAAGAAGAACAGAAATGAGAGGAAAGCTCCTTTGTCAGGCATTGGTGTTGGGAAGATGAGGGACTTGATTGCTGTTGGTGTTCACAATGGCAGACAATTGTTGCAGTATGACAACCTCAGTAACAAATTCAAGAAGGATGTCCTCAATGGGTGGAAACGAAAGGTTGACGCAATATTCAAAGAGAGGAAACGCGAGGCGAAAAAGGCAGCAGACGAAGTCAAGAGTCTGGAGAGCCAACTAGCAGCTGCCACTACACATGTCGAAATGGAAGAGGCAGTTGGTATTGGACTGGAAAATGAAGGGGCGGCGCAACAACAAGAACAACAACAAACACCAACAAAGGAGATTCCCACCTTCAGCAAAATCGACAACTCTGAGGGGTATAATGCAAGATTTCTGACACGGCACCGAATCGAAAGCATTCAAAGGACGCACTACCAGCACCGCAAACCAGTTCAAGACGCAAAAATGAGAGGGACCACTGGTGTTGTTGCAAAGCTTGACTTCAACTATAAAATCGCGACAAAGGTGAAGGTATACAAAGGTCGTGGAAGCAGCTTCACCTCTTACAAGTGCATCGTCACAATCCAGAATGAATTTGGATTGACTACATACTGGAAGGGGCTTCAGAACAGCGAATCCATGGCAGAAATCAAAGGTGACCTCTGCAGATTTCGCGATCGTGTCATTTTGAACGGTGGCAAGATCAGAGTGGTGTATGTGGACAATTGCTGCTCTACTGGAAAGATACTACGGGAGGTGTTTGGAGAAGACCTTCTAGTGAAATTGGACATCTTTCATTGGTTGAAACGGTGGGACGAAATGATTGCTGAGCCTTCTTCGCAAAATGCAGTGCTGTTTCGGGTTTTGATGAGTAGAGCGGTGTTCCTTGTTGAAGCATCTGCCTTTGAAGCTGCTAAAGAGGAGCTGACAAAGAAGCTAAATCGACAACCAACCAATCGCGAGATATTGAAGAAAGCAAATTCAGTTGTTCCGGGCCCAGAGCTGTTACGGAAGAATGTCATGGCGGTTATTCGCTTGGTGTATTATCTGGACTTGAAGACAGAACTTGCAATCGCCAGTGCCAAAAGGAACGAAGGGGAGCGTTCCAGCAATGATAGCGAGGACTTGCCCAAGCTGATTCTCAAGACATGCAAGAAAATCAGAGAAAAGGTAATTCAAAAGCAGATGCGACATGTTGATCTTGGATGTTTGTCGGATCCTCCAAGCGATATTGTCAATATGCATTTCAAGAACCCGAAAACTGGCAAGACCTTTTCAGTTCGCTCAACAAGTGGAAATGAAGCAGACAACTTACAACTGGATCGTCTCACCGGTACATCCATTGGCATAGGCCTGGCAGAGAGAACCTGTGACACCTTCTTTGAACAGAGCAATGAAAGGAAGAGAATGAATCGTCTTGGGGAAAATGATCCATTTACTTATCGAACTGAAACTATGGCTTTGTTGAATTCGTATGCTCTCAAGTCAGGATTTAAAGAGGAGCAGCTACCGTTTCCACAACTGTCCGTGCCAAAGCTGAGCACGGTACATCCAAAGGAATACATTGGATTTAACTACCAGCACTCAGCTTATGAAGATGTGTCGAATCCAGTACAGAATTTGGAGCCCTACTCACTTCAAGAAAGCAATGAAGATGGTGACGATTCTGCATTAAGCGATCTACTGGAAGGGCTTTTTGACGATGAGGATGACGAGGACGATACAGGGACCGAAAATGGGAATGATTCTGTTAAATCGAAAGAGGAAGAAGCAATGCTCTTGTTGCCCGAAATCACCAAGCGAGAGACAACAATGCAAGCCTTTCAGCGACTGACTGAAGAGCGTCCATGGATACCCTTCCATTCAGGCCAAACTCCCAAAACTGCACTGGACCATGAAGAAGCTGCATTGTTTCAGTCTATGATCAGCAGGTACAGTCGCAATGCAACACCAAGCTCGCGAAATGGCTTCAACTCAATGGCAGCCGAATGGAACAACGAAATGGCACAGCGATTCATGAGAAGGACCGAAGGCGACACCGAAATTATTCTTATCAACAGGAAGTCAACGATACAACTTCAAGAGCACTACGATCGTTTAAAGGAAATGAAGCAAGCGGCAAACAGCTTCGTGCCAGGGAACCAATTTGAAGAAGCCATGAGAAACACCATTCGCGATTCAAGGAACCAGCTGCAACCACGTCCTCTACCACAAGTGGCCACACCGTTAATGTACCCAGCAATTGGGCATGCCCCATTGGGAACACCGTTAACCATCAATCCAGAGTTCATCGCTCCAAACCTACGTCATGCAACACTGACCACATGCCCGCCAGTAACTCCTTGGATAGTCAGAACAGCGAACGGTCCCATGACAACAATAAACGATCCATTACAGGGTTTTAAGAAAAGTACCTGGTGCATTACATGCGGTCATCGCAAAAGAGACCACACTCTACAAGAAAGCTTCGGCAGCAAGTGCAGGAGAACGTGGTGCGCTAAGTGTGGAAACCTGAAGCAATACCATCAACACGAAAAGATGGGGCCATACTGCAACAATACAGCAAAGGATACAAGCCCTCACACAGCTTGGTACAGCTAGCTAGGGGGAAGACATGACCTCAGCCGGACTCGCATGGTACTGGTCAATCCTGTCTTGGACGAAATGGAAGCTGTTACAGGCGATTCGCCAAAAGTCGTCCTGGTGGATTACGTAATCAACAACAAAGTGCTGATGCCACGAAACGAAGATGGAGTCTTTTACCGCAATGGCTTCCACGGGAACAGCTGCTTGGAGTCTCTTTTCGATACGGATTCGAAGCACGTGATAGAACGTGTACTCGCGACACAAAGGTTTCCCCTGGCGATGCCACTTGTTAAACAAGCAACAAACATCCTCGAACCAAATGGGATTGTACTTCTTTCCCCACTTGTCCAAGACGTCCATGACATGAGAAGCGTCATTGCTCAAAGGAAATGCCGTCTTGGTCAAAATCAAGTGCATGCATGTCTCTGCGTCAAAGCTGGATGACAGCACAGGATTCAGGATTGCGCCAGAAGCAAGCATCAACCACTTGCAGTGGAACTTCTGCCTTGTGATTCTAACATCACAGTAGGGATAACTCTCTCCATTAGTCAATACAAACTTGTCGAATGCGTCCTTGTTGACCTGCATCTTGTAGTCGTTTGTCGTTTACACTCGGTTGTTGTTTCCTTTACACTCAATTTCGATTTTGTGAGAGGAGAGTGCTGGAGAGTGACTCGGATGTACTGGCTCTAAGTAAATTTGAATACCAACGCACCTTCGCTGTGATGTCAGTATTACGTCACTATAGGAAAAAGTACTGTTTGCGATTGTTCTCTGGTCATTCCATGACTGACTAGGGACTAACTAACTATACCTTTTCGTACTAAATGGATGGTAAGAGTCATTTAATAGAGCCAGAAAACGACTCATTGGTCTTCACAGCCAGACTCCACGATCTACGGCTGGCCGATGCCAAAGTCAAAGATCTTTTCTGCACTCGCAATTGCAATTGAGGCTGCCTCCTCCTACAAGTAATGTAAAAGTCGATCTACATGTACCACCATGTCCTCTCATCTGCCTCCACAAGACCCATCCTCTGATATTCTTGCCTCGTTGTTGTATCAGAAGGATCTTTGGATCAACGACGTCTTTCCATTTTTGGGTCTGGGACACTTCCTTTTTGTGGGAAGTGTCAACACACAATTCAAGAGTCTCTATCAAGAATATTGCAATCACGAGATGAGTCCAACCCTTGTCGTCATAGAAGATGACGAGGAAGATGACAACAAAGTGCGACCCGCAACCAGCACCGACACATTGTACAGTGCAGCATTTTTCAATGTGACATGTGCCAAATACTGGTACAGCCTACAGTTTGATTCCAGTCGACAAGATCCAAAACCACTTTTGTTGTGCACACATGCTGCAAGAGTGGGAAATCTTACAGTTCTTCAATGGGCTCGCGAGAATCCATGTCCATGGAACGAACAGACATGTGCTGGAGCCGCCAAGGGCAGCCATTTGGAGGTCTTAAAATGGGCCAGAGAGAATGGTTGTCCATGGGATGCAACAACCTGCTCTTTTGCTGCTAGGAACGGGCACCTTGAAATACTAAAATGGGCAAGAGGCAACATTAACTTCTGCCCATGGGATGCAGATACCTGTTCTTCTGCTGCTGAGGGTGGCCATCTGGAGGTGCTAAAATGGGCAAGAGAAAATGGATGTCCATGGGACTGGCGTACATGTTTCGAGGCCATCACAAGGGGGCATTTGACAGTTCTCAAATGGGCTCGTTCCGATGGTTGTCCTTGGAATCATTGGACATGTTTTAATGCTGCAAAGTATGGTCAGTTGGAGGTGCTGAAATGGGCAAGAGAGCAGGGTTGCCACTGGAACGAAAGGGTGTGCTACATTGCTGCTCTAGGTGGCCATTTGGCAGTGTTGATATGGGCACGAGAAAATGGCTGTCCATGGGATGTGGCAACATGTCATGCTGCTGCTGAAGGTGGGCACTTGGAAGTACTGAAATGGGCGAGAGAAAACAACTGCCCCTGGAATGAGCTAACATGCAGCCATGCTGCCGCTGCTGGTAATTTGGAATTATTGAAATGGGCCAAAGAAAATGGCTGTCCATGGAATGAGGATACATGCAGTGGTGCCGCTAAAGGTGGATTCTTGGAAATTTTGAAATGGGCAAGAGGAAATGGGTGCCCCTGGGATGAGCAGACTTGCCGTTTTGCAGCCAAGTATGGTCATTTGGACATTTTGGAATGGGCACACGCAAATGGTTGCCACTGGACCACCAAAGCATGTGCAGCTGCTGCTGAAAATGGACAATTGGAAACATTGCAGTGGTTGCATGCAAATGGATGTCCTTGGGATGGCGAGACATGCTACCGGGCTGAAATATCTGGGCATCCAGAAGTTCTGCAGTGGGCACTTGCCAATGGCTGCCCAGAGAGTGCCTTTGTGAACAACTATGACAATGATTCAGGGAGCAACTAAAATACTAAAATCAGTCTTTTCCTGTATTCTACTATCTACTCCCTGAATTGAAAGAGGATTTGAGAGTTCCTACATGTACATTACGCCAGCAATGTTGAAAGTCATTTAGCTAGTTTCTTTATCTCAATCTATCATATCATTTATTTAAATTAGTTGTATTTGTTGTTTAGGAGAATGCCCAGGAATTGTTTGTTGTACGTTTGCCTGAAATTCCTCGAACAATTGATGCATCATCAATTTGAAGCGGAGGGCCATGAGTTGGCGGTAGATTCCACCGTTGAAAGATCCAACGATTGTTGTATTGTGTGGTAGCATCAGTCGGAGGAGGGCCACGAGCGTGGGCGTGGTGTGAATCCTGCTTCAATAGCCTGGATGCTATGATACATGGTGTTGCTGAACTGTCGAAGGGGCAAAACGTCAAATGGTTCTTCGAGCTGAACGCTTATATCTTCAATCCCAAGAACTGCATAACTTGTCAGCAGCGTCGTGGGAATTGTTCCCATTGGCCCCAAGAGTGGGTAAAGTGCAAAGGGCAAAGAATTGGACCACACAAAGAGCATTCGTGAAGAATGTCGAGTAAAGCCGGTTGGCAAGGGTGTTTTGGCAATGCGTTCGCCACTTCCCAATGCCTTGGTGAGGCGTTCGATTGTACTATCCAATGCACGCACAAACACAGGGTGTAACGCCTCGGGGTTACCTTTGACACTGCTCACAGCTGTCAGAGTTTCGCCCATACAGGTGATGATCTCGAGAGGGACATTGCCTCCATTGGCTTTGACTTGACAGATCCTGTCGAAGTCTTCTTGAAGAATCGGAGGAGTGGTGGCGTTATTGGCGACTGTTGTCTTGTCATTCTTGTCGTCACTACCACCGGGAGGAGAATAAAAGAAGACATCGGCAAGTTCCGCTTCGAACTCGGCCTGTACACGACCATAAAACTGCTTGTCTCCCAGCCTTGACATACGTTTCATACTGTAATGACATCCCTTATCATTGAGGTGAAATAAAAAGGCCACGGGAAAGGCTTGACACAAGCGCAACATGCGCGTCTTCATATCATCATTTTCGGGAACCCACATGACGGTTTGCCGCGCCAAATCACGAAGAGTAGTTTGCGTATCGGACCAGCTTTTGCGTCCCTCATTGTACCTGCCGTAACTGTTGTTGAGACGGAAACCAGCCAACAAACCAATAGCCGTGGTAGCCCCGGCAAAAGCCGTCGGCGAAATGCTGAGACCTGTTGCCGTTGATGTCGCCACAAACTCATTGTAGTACGTCAGCAATCCTGCCACGGTAGTGACACAGAATAGATCGGGGAAGAGCAAACGTTGAAAAGGTGCCGATTGAAAGAGGTAGGCCATGTGCCGAAATTTTCTGTAAGGACTCTTGTGTTTTCCCCACTGCGAATGCAAAAAGTAGAGCTCTCGGGTTGGACACGTTCGCTGATTTCGAGCCAATCGAGTGTTGCCAGCATTGACGTCCATTTCGAACTCACTGCGATTGCTGGTAGCTCGTTCAGCCCTGGGGACGTAAAATTCCGGTTTCTTGGCGGGGATGGTGACAGCGCGAATTTCTTGACAATATGGAGATTTCCAACCATTTGCTTGGAGGATCAGGCGTGGACCAAGGGGGAATCGCTTTGGGGTGACTGCACTTCTCATCAGGCGAAACGCCATGGTTGGGGATGAGATCAAGATCATCATCTTGACAAAGGACTGAAACCCTCGTCAAGTGATTTTAGATTTATCTTTGTGATGTGAGGGGGTTTCGCGGAAGGTTTTGGAACTGACGTCACTCGTTTTCACTATCTTTTGACATCAAATGACATCATCATGACGCCAAGTTTTAATTCAGGAGGCTCGTTGGCTGAAGCCGAGAGGCAAAGGGGTTTTAGCTTTAGTCTACACAGCATTCAACGTTCTCCATCACATAGAGTCTAGTCTCAGGTCTGGGGTCAGGCTGCACTGGCAAGGCCAGCAGCTTTGGTGACGTTGGTCTAGTTCTGGTGCAGCTGGATTTGGAAAAGGTTTGATCCAGGCGTTGGTCGACGTCTCGCCTCCAGATGGACCAGGTGTGGTACCTGTGTATGGTAAGATTAGGTGCGGGAGTGGGGATAAGTTACCATTGCTACTGCCGTGCCTAGAAGTATCTCGGTATCTGCCAAAAGTCTATCCTTCAAACTGGTTTATTTGCAGTGCTTCATTTACCGATTGGAAAGGAAACAAATCTCACAACCCACACATTTGCAGTAGTTGCTGCTTGAAATGATTCACAAAGGCCAGTGCGGTCTGCTCCGACCAGATATGAGTGTAATAGGCAAAAGTGAGATTCATACTTCCATGGACCGTGCAAAGATTGAGCTCTCCCATACAATCAGGTGCTGAATGTCGCGTCACATTGTTAAAGACATGTTTGATCACACCCTTGCTGTAGTTGCCATAGAACTGCAACCCATTATTGGAAACGCCATAATTGAACCGTTCACAGCGAAGTCTTTTAAACGCCGGTGGTGCTGGAGACACCATGTACGTTGTTTTGAGGAATTTCATCACCAGCATATAGACTACGTAGTGCTTCAAGTTCCATGGCAAATACCCTTGCAATTGAGCCTTGATGCCACGAGCCATGTCCCACATGTTTTGAGGTTGTGCTGTGGTCGTCATTCTCACGCCCTTGACTCCAATGAAGCAGCCTGCCACTGCCTCTGCAGGAATGAACTCCTTTATGGTACCCCAGAGAGAAATCATGTGCATCATCGAAAACGAGTAGTCATCGGTTTGATTGCCCGTCTTCTCCCGCGCAATCAAATCCAGTGCACGATACAGTGCTGCTGAAACGGCACCATGAACGGTTGTGCCTTCTTGCTTCGATTGCTGGATGATGCGGGTTGTTTCTTCTTGAGAAAGCAACGAGGTAATCCACTTGGTTTCTGGTATAATTTGTGGATCTTTGATCCCTGGAGCATCCTCCAAGGGAAATTCAAATGTTTTATGCCGCAGTCGAATAGAATCATGAACATGTCGCCGCAGGGCAACGAAAAATGTAGACCAAGCCATTGAAGGTGTCTCTCGAGTAAGAGTCTGTAGATTGTATGGAACTGGTTCATGGTCATTTATTGCACCATCACTGACTTCGCCTAGAGCATCAAAAAATGCCCCCAGAAAACGGTTTCGAGAGGTACCATCAAACTGAACATGGTTCAATGCAAACACAATTGCAGAATCACCATGCTCATCATGGCCAGCATCAGTGTTGTCCACGAGAACTACCTTCCACAAGGGAATAGTGGGCAGACTAGAGGTTGGCCTGGGAAACTGTAAACAGTTCAACTGCTCGTGAACCTCATCTCGCCAATTCTTGTTTCGGGACACATCGACCATCCCTGAGGAAGAGGCCGATTTGGGGACCACCAAGACAACTTCTTGATTTTCCTCTTTGGCAGCCAAGACTGCTCGCAAGGGAGAGTGTCGCTTCTTCAACAGACTGACTGTCTTTTGGACTTGCTCTTCGGATGGACAACTACCTGACTCCAATATTACACAACAGACAGTTTGATCGGTACCATCGAATTGGTTCTTAGCCAGAATCCATTGTAAAATAGACAAGGCAGCGACCTCTTCCACGTCATCTTCTTCCACGCCAACCACTTGCTGTCGGCGCTTCGATCGCCATTGCCTTGTCCGAAATACCTTCAAGCTCAGCAGTGTTACACCCGTGGCAACAAGGGCAGAGCCGATCACAAGAGCATTGCTCGACAAGGCTGAGCTTGACGCCCTCATTGTACATGTATTTTAGAAGCTACGGGTTTAGAGGATGAGTGCCCGCCATTGTGAAGCCGTCGAGGGTCAGAACGAAAGATCTATCTCGAGTATTACCCCAACTACAGTACCTGTATCTTTTTACCAGTAGATGCGGTAAATATCTCTTTTCTGCATAGAACAAAGGAGAGAGTTCGACTACCCGTACTGGTACCATCGTCAATCAGGTTGGCTTGTGTAGTCTAGATGGTGCCGAATCATCCTACCAACGCGATAGCTGCATCACTGCAGAGCAAGATAGACGCCTTTGAAAAAACATAGTTCAAGATTAGCTAGCTAGCGAGCAAGGCCAATGGCGCTACTTCTTTTGTTCGTCTTCTGAACCATCCTGATCTTCATCCGTTCTCTCCGCATTGTCTCCATTATTGGATGCATCATTTGAGCTGTCCCCTATATCCTGATTTGCAGTCGTTGATTTGGATGATGATGATCCTGGCGATTTGACACCATTGGCGCTGCTACCATTCAAAGATCTCCAGCTTTGAGTTGTCGTGGCCCGCACTTTGGTGGCCAGGGTACGAATCGATGCCTTGGCTTTGTTCCCAAACACAGCTAGCTGGGATCGAGGGTATTCCAAGTAGGGCCCAATCTTCTTGGCCACTGGCGACCAGAAATCCGGCAGTTTGATCTTACCCGTCTCCAGACCTTGCTGTATCAGACCAGCTGCAAAGCCAAGGACGGCTCCAGCGGCAATCAGCGTGGCTTCATCCTCTTCAAAGATTGCTATTGATGGGTTGTTGTAAAAGAATGGGTTAGGGCAGTACGGTACAGTACTCACATGTAGCCGTCGTCCAACCAAAGATACTCACGATGCAAGACTCGCTCAAACTGCGACGATGTCATTTGTTCCATTTTGACCCGCAGCGTGCCTTCCAATCCCAGCGTTCGGTCAATGTACGAGTGCAAGACCGGTATATGTTCCGGTAGTTTGGTCATGGCCCGATTGGTGGCCATTTGAATCACCTCGGGTTCGACATTGATTCTCAAACATCCCGTAACGCGGTTGGCAAACCCCATGAAATGTCTCGCAAAGAGCGCATAAAACGAAGGGCTGGTTGTTGGGTCGGTCAAGATGGAATTCCATACTTGATGGCTGGTCAAGATGCGATTGGCAAAGAATTTGGAAAATTCGGCCGCCACTTCCTTTTGTCGTCTGAGGAACTGTCCTTGAAGTATAAAGGGCCCCACTCGGGTGGGATTGACGGGTTCAAAGATCCATTTCAATGCCAACCAGTTGGTGGCCAGTCCTACAATGAGGCCTCCGATACTAAGTGTCCACGGATTTTCAAAGAACAAGGCCACCGCCATTTGAATCAAGCCTTGAAAGCAAAAGCAAGATGTTGAGTTGATCCCTTGCGAAAAGCAACGTAGTGACAATCGTTCGTTGGTTACGTACCTAATAAGAATCCAAACCACAGGCCACTGTTGGTCAAAAAGTCGAGTTCCTTTTGTCCGCACTTTTTGAAGAGTTCTCCCAACAAACTTCGATCTTGCAGCATTTGATTTTGCACACAGTTTTGAATGTTGAAATAATTGTCGACATTGGATATCATATCCTGACAGAGTGATCGTAAGAATGCAAAATTGAAATGCTGCAGTATGCGTTGCGAGACGGCGGGAAGACCGAAAAAGGCCGCCTTGGGTAATCCAACGAGCTGTTGTGGCACAATATCGGCCAAGACACTTTCTCCCAGCTTGGGGACTTCCGGGGCCAATCGTTTGGCCAATTCGCTGGGATCCAATCGGGCAAATGCCTCCTTGACCGTGAGGAGCTGTGAGGTGACCATGTGTACCATGGCTTCACTCATGGGTCTCGTTTTGCAGGGCTAGATAGATAGATTGAAAGTAGAGTAAGTAAGTGACAACACTTTTTCGTAGAATAGCTACGCTATAAGATAGACAGATACTTACCACAATCCCCTGCCATCCCAGAAATCCCAATGGCACTTCGTCCTTGATCCATAATGGAATCCCCCGAAATCGAATGGGGTAAAATATCATTTGTACGGCCAACCAATTGGTGAACCAACCGACCAGAGCTGCCACACAGGGGATAATCATATAGGTTCCTGGTCTAGCTCTAAATTTGGCTCCTGCCTTGCGGAAATGATCTGCCAACGAAAGACGTTTCTATAATAATAGTAGTAATATGAGGAAAACAGCGTGGTTAGGATACCCACTCTCCAAAGCTAAAAGAAAACAAAAGTTTGTGTAGAACCTACCGAGTCTTCATCGCCATTGACTTTGGTAGTCAGACGTCGATGCCGTCGTATCGGGCAGGAATGGTAATCTGATGATGAACGACATGGTTGTTGACCCACCACCAACGGATGATAACTATTTGTTCGAGATTGGACCGAAAATGCTTGACAACTGTGACGATGCAGGATACCCGCCAAAACGGCAGGAAACAGGGAACTACGCCTCTTGGTCAACCTCGTTGTTCGCTTTCTCTTTTGCATCTTTATTTATTGGACAATCTTTCCTTCCTTCTGTAAGGTGCTCTCCTCTGGCCAGCCAGCTATAACTCGACGCACGGTACAGTACTTGGCTGATGATGGTTGATGAGGTTGTGGTTGATGGCGGTTGATGGGGCCTTGGATGGATCTTCGTTGACGCCAGATCTGATCAGGTCACGAATATATGGGATTGATTCTGAAGCAGACATCCATCGTGGACGGCTTGCGGTCCGCGCTATACCTGTTTTGCCGCCAACACCACGACCAACACGACCAAGCAGCATTGCCTGCCAGATACTGCGCCAAAACCGCGGTCATATCTTTTTCGTGGAGGAAGAAACCAAAGACACCAAGCCACACAAACCTCGCTCCTTCTTGATTTATTTCTCTTCTGGGTGTGCCTGTTGCTGTACGATGAAGACGATCACGGGGTTACCCGGCCTAATGATGGCCCTCTTGGGTCCTCTACTACCATCCACCACCATGGCCTACTATCTGCCCGGTGTGAACATCCACTCCTTCCAAGAAGGAGATGAAATCAAATTAAAAGTCAACAAGATGACTTCTACCCAGACTCAATTCCCCCTTGACTACTACAAGTTCCCCTTTTGTCAGCCCACAGATGGAGTCAAGGTGGATCATGAAAATTTGGGAGAGTTCTTGGAGGGAGATCGCATCGAGTCGTCGCCGTATTTACTCAGAATGAAAAAACACATGTACTGCGAACAAGTATGTGTGGCCAATCTCGGTCGCGGGGAACAGCCACACTTGAACTCCAACAAGGTGGTCAAGGTCATTCGAAAGAATTATCATAACAACTGGATTGTCGATAATCTGTCGGCCGCCTCCAAAATTGAAAATGACGAACTGGTTACCACTCGCTACTGGCAGGGATTCCCCGTTGGATTTATTGCCGAGGATAACAAAAAAGCATACGTTCACAATCACGTCAATATCGAACTCTTTTATCACAAGGCGGCGGATTTGCCCACTGGGGATAATGCCATTCCCGAATACCGCATTGTCAGATTCATGGTGGAACCCTTTTCCATTAAACACGACCACGACGCCACTGAGGAGGAATCGCCCACCGATTCCACCGAGCATTTTTTGCCCACGGTCGCCAAAATCACCAACCCCATTGCGTCTTGTAACCCGGCCACTCCGTACAACGATCGGCCTCATACCAGCTACAACATGGTGGTGGAAAGTGGACGGGAGCCTCAACCGGCTTCTGGAAAGGCGCTCTTTACCTACGATGTCATCTGGACCGAAGATTCCAACACTACCTGGGCGTCTCGTTGGGATGTCTACTTGAACATGAATGGTGCCGTGCCGGCCAAAGTCCACTGGGTGTCCATTTTCAATTCCATGGTGATTGTCTTTGTGCTCAGTGCCATGATTGCCGCTATTTTGGTGCGCAATCTCCGTCGTGATTTTGCGCGCTACAACAAGTTGGCCACGGACGAAGAAAAGGCAGAAGATCTGGAAGAATTTGGCTGGAAGCTGGTGCATGCCGACGTCTTTCGTCCTCCATCGACCTATCCCATGCTCTTGGCGGTTGGATGCGGTACCGGTGCTCAAATCTTACTCATGGTCTTTTTCACTGTCGTTTTTGCCTCTTTGGGGTTCCTCAATCCGGCTCGACGAGGAACATTGCTCATGGCAGAACTCTTCCTCTTTGTCATGATGGGTGGAGTTAATGGATATGTCACGGCACGTCTCTACAAGACATTCAAAGGAAAAGCCTGGCAACGAGCTACTACCATGACTGCGGTTCTCTTTCCGGGAATTTCCTTTGTTTTCTTTATTGGTTTGAACATTTTGGCATGGTCCCAGGAGAGTACTGATCGAGTCCCCTTTACGACCCTTTTGGTGCTCATTATTCTTTGGTTTGGGATCAGTACGCCCTTGGTCTTTGTGGGAGCCTACTTTGGGTACAAGCAGGAAGCCATTGAGTTTCCGGTCAACACCTCGTCCATTCCTCGTCAGATCCCCGATCAGCCCTGGTTTATGGGACTCCCTTTCACTCTCTTTGTGGGAGGCATTCTACCCTTTGGATCCTGCTTTGTGGAGCTCTACTACATTCTTGCATCGGTGTGGCAAGAGTATTACTACTACGTCTTTGGATTCCTTCTCGCGGTCCTTTTCATTCTGGTGGTGACCTGCGCTGAGATTACCGTCCTTTTCACCTACTTCCAGTTGTGTTCGGAGAATTATCATTGGTGGTGGAGAGCCTTTGGCAATGCTGGATCAACCGCAATTTGGGTGTTCTTGTACTCACTGGTCTATTTCCAACAACTCGAGGCAAATACCATGGCCACTTACTTTTTGTATTTTGGATACACCAGTTTGGTCTGTTTGGGAATGTTCTGTATGATGGGCTTTGTGGGTGTTGGTTGTTCCCTCTGGTTCAACCAGATCATCTTTGCTTCCATCAAGATTGATTAGGTCTGGTAGAGTCACTGCTGTTGGTAAGGTGAATAAAAAACGATTTACGGTGCAATATATATATGCTTGCAAAAGGGTCAAAACATTTCACCTCGTTTGTTTGGTGCCGTGGGTTAGCATTTTGTTTGAAAAGCATCTCGTGTCTCCTGTTGATTCTTAGGCCGCAGCGTCGCGAAAAGCGAATCCAGTCGACGCACTTGCCCTTTCATATACAGTAGCCGATATTGTTTCGTAACTGGACATTGCCGCGGCAGCTGCCAAAGATTCGACTGCCCCTAGAACTCCTCTTGATAATCGTTTGAAGCCGCTCACGCTGTCCGTGCCGGCCACTACAAGTGTATCGACAGAAGTCAGGCTTGCAAGCGCCAGTTGTCGCACGTGGAGATGTTGAAGATGTCGCTTACAATGGCATCCGCTTCGATTGTGGATACTTTGGGCTCAACTTTTTTATGACCCTCACGCACGTCCGAATTCTCGATGGTCGCCAAGACCAAGCTGGTATGCAAGCACTCCATCGACTTGGCTGCCTTCTCGGTCTCTTTGTTCCGGCTCTTCCGTGGCTGGTGGGGGGTGACCGAAGACATGCGATATTGAACACCCACGAAAACGATTAAATCAACTCTAGCATCATCATGAAGGGACCATGTTTTGAGCCCGAATCATGTCGATCATTGAGTTCATCAAGACAAATCGGAGTCGGCAACGTCAAAGATAATTATTGTCATCAGTCATCAAGCGCTATCCTCGAGTTCGCTGCCTCCATCAAATATACAACAAAGAGTTGTCATTTCAGCCAAAATAGCTCCAGGTAACGGTAGTAGATAGATTGCGTACCGCTACATATACCTGCTTTATCCTCCCTGCCTTGCAAAGCAGCCACCGAGTAACGGGTGACGGGTCACCATAGATAGGGTAGTGCACTGTGTCCTTGATGTGGGTGCGAGGCTTGGTTGGTATTTACTGTTTACTGATTACTGACTGGAGGGGCCAAACAGTAGCAGTAATGGCAGTAATGCAGTAATTACTCAGTAGCAGTAATCAGGTACAGTAATTTAAAGCCATTTGAAGCAGTAAATCACAGTAATTGCAGTAAAATAGGGTGATTACTGTGCTTTTACTGTCATTTACTGTCAATTACTGTTGAATTGGCAGATTTATTACTGCCAGGAATTACTGACTGCAGTAACTACTGGCCAATAAAGGCAGTAAAAGTACAGTAAGTAACCAGTAACCAGGAATTACTGCAGTAATTACCCACCAAGGTGCGAGGTGCGATACGGTACTCCGACGCCGACGAGAAGATCGTGGAAAGCGACCGTGGAGCCCCAGTACCTTAGCCCTGACTCTAAGAAGATAAGGCATCCAAAGCAAAGCTAAAGATCCAAGTTTCAAACGTTGAAACGTTGACGTTGATCCTTCGAAAGGGCAACGAGAGGATGCTCAATGACCTGATGAACCTTCCGTCATTCGATCGGCTCGACTGAGCTACTTTCATTTTGCAAACTCGGCAGCGACTATGATGACACCAGACGAGTATTCACGCCGATTCCTCGAGCAGCAGGCGTTACAACCGGCGGAAAGGAATGCCACGAGAGGGCTCTGTGGGCGATTTTTAAAGGGAATCAAAACGGAACATTTCCAAGTCCTTTCAGACGAACCAGGAAAACTGCTCAGTTGGGTGTGCTCTGGCGAAATGCTGGGAGGTCTTTTGGGATTATCTCCTGTTGCGGCCATGTACAGCATTGGGTTTCGGTTGGATTGGGTGCAGTGTCGACTGGAGGATGGAACCCAGTTTAAGCTGGTCGTATTCCCTGCCGCCGATGCCCGAGGAGTCGTGGTCACATGGGAAGCTTTATGGACACTGATCGCTCAATCATATGGCAAGGAAATAGACGAAGCAGTGACACCGTTCAAGCAACAACTCGAAGATCTCGACACCACCAGTGGCTACGCGAGCGTCTTGGAGTCTGGTGACACTATTACTCAGATCTCCAATCTCTCGGTTGCGGAAAAACACAAGCACCCAGGGTTTTTGAGTGCCACCAAGTTCCTAGACATTCCAAAAGACGAGAGAACGCTCTACCATGCAAGGGGGTTTCTGGATCACGCAGTAGGATGCAACCATAGATTCACCGGAACTGGAAAAAGTCCCGACGGGGATGTTGAAATGATGACGTTCAACAAATCAATTTCTGATATTCCCGGTGCTAACATGATACCTCTTCAAGTCACCAAGTCCGACTTGGCTAGTTTCAGGGCCTCGTTGAAGGAGAAGTCAAAAGAATCTGGAGGAAGTACGTGAAAATTGACTTCTAAAGAGTCATAGCTGGCTAGATGCCAAGCCGTTTGGCACGTAGCGACTCCGATGCCTCTGGTGCGACACCTGCAAACTATGAAACTTTACAAGTATACCTGCTACGCGAGAGCACACAAGCTGTTGCTTTTACTTTTTCTTTAAAAAAATACGAATGTAAACGAAAGAGGCTGAAGAATGATTCAACCAAAATTCTTAAACGGAGCAATTGGAACTGAACTGGTCGGCATCTTCTATCTCCACGCACGATGGGGTGATATGGGCGCTCATTGGCTCATCCGCTCCTTCCTTGGTCGATGGCAATACTTCAGAGTCTCTGGTGCCTTGCCTTTGCAATCCTGACGCGGTGGTCATTCCTGTCACATTGGTGGTTCCTGAGGTAGCCACACTGCCTCCGCCTTGCACGGTAATGAAGTAGGTCTGCAGCTCTCCCTTTCCTTTGGCTTTGACTGTGTGATCTCGGGCACTAACCCAGTTCGACTTCCCCTGGGCAATCAGCTCATCTGCAGTCGACTGTGAGGCATGAATGCGTCCCGCTTGCCCAGTGGATTCCATCCTGCTGGCAGTATTGACTAGAAAACAAGCAAAGTGAGAGATTGAACATGAGAAAACCACAATGCTGCATCAAGTACACGCTCCCTTCAAAGATACCATACCTGTGTCTCCAAAAAGCTGGAAGCGGGACTTTTGGCCTAATGCAGATACAACACAAGAAGAGTATTGAGGGAGACTGGAGCAACTCAATTCAGAGCTCCACTACTCTGTTCTCATCATCAGCTGGACGAGCTACAAATGCTCACCTCTAAGAACACCTGCAGTAACAGATCCACTGTGCAGACCAACTCGAAGCTGCAAGTTTTGCGTGTCTGCACCTAAGTGTTCACTGACTTTGCGGACAATTTGGTTCATTTTCAACAAGCACTCAGATGCAAATCTTGCCACCGCAACAGCATGAAGAGGATTGGGCTCAGGCAACCCACACACTCCAAGCCAGCAATCTCCAATGGTCTCCACTGAGCATGTTTGAGAACAAAAGGACCGTGATGATGGTTAGTGGACTGGAATGAGTAACTTACTGGGCAAGAAGCACACAACATCCTACCTTTGAAGACACCCCTTTTGAGGGCAATCCCATCAAAGGCATCGTAGAGGCTCTCCAAAAGTTCAAATACATCCACAGGTGTCCGCTTAGCACTCCATGCCGTGAAGCCTTCATAGTTTGTGAAAAAGGAAAACACAAGAATGAGTGAAGTTTGAATGGCAAACGGGTGGAACGATTGACAGGCGCGTATCCTACCAGCCAAGTCTCCAAACATCACAGTCACTTCATCGTAATGGTCTGCGATAGGGCGACTGCCTGCAGTACCACCAACTACATCACGTTCACTCTTCAGAGACTTCCTCCACGCATTGCTGTCTCCTGTGGTTGTCTTTTTGATCTGGTTCTCCTGGTACAACCGGCTTTGGACTTGCTCTGGGAACAAGGAGTTCACCAATGCCCCTGATTGGAGTGCTTGTTCCATGACAATGCGCTGCCTGCGCTCTACTACGAAATCGAAAACCATGAACACCACAGCAGTCAACAAAAAGACCACAGCAACCACCACAGGAAAGATGATTGGCTGCATCGAAGTGTATTCATTCTGAGTATCTTGACTGGGATAGACCCGGAGTGTATACTGGCCAAAAGTGTCGTGGAGTGGGACTGTAGAATAGGACATGGTTTCTGGGCTTGTGCGGCTTTTGACGTAGGCAGTGGCATCCTGTGCGAATCCCAAGTGTTCAAATGTTTCATACAGTCCACGGGGATCTTGATCACCCAAATAGGTCACTTGGGGTCCATCAATCCTGTACACGATGGTGTCGTTAAAGGAATTTTCAATCACACAAATCACACCTTTCAGCTCAAATGGGAGAATGTCCTCAAGAAGAAGCCGCCAGTAAATATTGCTGTAGAGCATCCCGGCCAGGTGGTCGCGCTGTTCTTGCACAGACGCAGTTGCATTGTAGAATGTATCAAAGACAGGATAGACAAGGAAGGACATTGGTTCTCCAATATACCCCTCAACCGACTGCCGGTACTGACTTAGGAGAAGGTTGTTGTTGAAGTTAGCACCAATGCCATTGACATCAAAGACACTTGCCTTGTCCAGCACAACTTTGGGATTCTTGAGCATTTCTGCTAGAGCATCTTTGAGTGCAGGCCATTGAGAAAGGTCCGAGTTGAGGAAAGCCTGCTTGGTTCTATTGATCGGACAACGTTGCCACCTGGGAAAATAAGGTCCAGAACCTGGAGGTCTGTTAAGTTGGGGGCGGTATTTGGTGCCATCCTGGACTGTGTTGTTGATGATTGTGATCAGGGGTGGATCTTCCTGGGCCGAGAGGTTGTGTGAACCGTTTTGGGCTGTCTGGTTTGCCTGATGCTGCAGAAGCCGCGTGCTGTCCCGTTGTTGCTCTTCATCTTGCTCTCCCAGAATGTTGGCAAAGTACTCATCTTGAGTTTTCCTATAGCGGGATTCTTGGGCAAAGGCTTTGTCCACCTGAAATCTGTTTTCCATGGCCCAAGCTTCCCATGCCTTCCTTTTGTCATCCGTGACCAAAGGAGCATAGTGCAAAACGACTGCCAAAGCTGCCACCCTCACGTCTGCTCCCAGCATTTCAAAGTTGGGAAAGGTGACAAAAGGAAACTCCACATCTGGGGTGCTAAGAACATAACTGGTCATGGCATTACTCATGGATCCAAATGCCACCAACTTGCGTTCGATTCCATCGCTGAACGCCTGGATGACCCGGATGCCATTGGTCCGAAAGCTCGTTTCAAAGCTCTCGTGTTCCTTGTTCCTGGCGTACGCATACAAGCCAACACATACCGACACGGCTGCCACAAACAAGATCAGGAATACGATGACACGCCAAATGCGGACCACCTGTGTCTTGTCTTGTTTCTTTAAACTCTCCTTGAGCCGATCCATGACTTGTTGCTGCTGCCGATTCTTCACGTCACCAATGCTGCTTACTTCACTCACATCTTCATCTCCAAACTGCTCGTCCTTGACGTCCTTGACAGTTGTCTTGACTGTAATATCAGCGGTCATCGTGGTGCTTTCTATGATGAAGAATAAGAGGGAGCTCAATGTCATGAATGGATGGGTCGAGTCAGTTAAGGATTGTTGTCGGTGGTGCTGTGGGTGGCTTGGCGTTGTTGGAGGTTGGTGGAACCATACTAGCGGTAGCTAGTAGAGGGAAGTCATCCGAGACATCCATGAAATAAATTTGACAATATCTTAGGCCGCTCTCTACCCAAGCGACTAAAGTAGCGACTAAGCCATATTTCGTAGTTTAGTCGATAGTTTAGTCTCTGAGGGTGGTGTCTACCCAAGCGACTAAACGTCCCACGGACTAAAGGCTTTAGTCATTATGTTTGCTCACCGACTAACGGGAGGCTGGTTAGTCGGTGAGCGAACATAACGACTAAAGCTTCTTTAAGAACTCTTTAAAAAAAGAACAGCACTTTTAAAAAAGAACAGCACTTTTAAAAAAGAACAGCACCCTCATTGCACAGCCTCACTATCAGAGCATCGCGACAGAGCTGATAGAGTAGAGGTGCGATCGAACGATCGATGAGGAGTACCGGTATGAGGAGTACCGGTATCGGCCGATAGTAGAGGTGCAAACGATCGAACGAGTAGAGGTGCGATCGAACGATCGATGAGAGGAGTACCGTATCGGCCGATAGTAGAGGTGCAAACGATCGAACGATCGAAGAGGAAGGTGCAAACGATCGAACGATCGAATGACAGTCTTCGGTTGAATAGAAAGCCATCCCTCATTGCAGAGTATGGAGTGCGGGTGGCTTTCATTTCTCGGCCTTTGACTGAATATACCGGTAGTAGAGGTGTCGAAGAGGTCGCAATGGTTGTTTTGAGTCTTGTTATCAGTCTTGTTATCTCAAAAAGTAATCACTTCTGTTAAGTCTTTGTTTGAGTCCTTTAAATCCACCATGCTGATAGAATATTGGTAGCCACCAAGTGATCACTTTTGTTAAATCTTTTTTGAGTCCTTTAAGTCCAGTATTGTTCCCATGAATTGTTTAGTCAATTTTTTGTTTAGTCGCCATGGTAGACAGCATGTTTTGACTAAAAACTCGACTAATTGTTTAGTCCGAGATTTAGTCATCTGCTGGTAGACACCACCATTACTAAAGGATAATGACTAAATCTTGAACTAAACAACCACCTAAAGGATTCCTTTAGTCCCTACTTTAGTCGCTCCGGTAGAGACCGGCCTTACTCTTGGATACCCCTTTGTGGCCATCAACTGATTTAAATCAATACAGGTATACAAGTATAAGCCGGCAGGCAGTGAGTTCATTTGGGCGCGAATTTAATAAGGTTATGTATCAAAATAATCGTCCGTGGTAAACTATACCCACTACTATTCGAGACTGGATGCATACCCCAGACCCAAAGAGAACCCGAATGAACCAGTGAGAGCACCCAAACAAAGCACAACAACCGACAATGATGAATGACCATGGTATGAAGAGACGCAATGAGATGCCGAAAGCTGTCACAATGTCTTCTAATAGGACCAACTGCCAGTGGCAAGGAGAATGGGACCACTAGTTTCATTGTTGTTGTTGTTGCTGCTGTCGCCATCTTCCGCATTGTCTCCATCTTCGCTGCTATCTCCATCGGCACTTTCCTGCCCAACTGTAGCTTCTCCATCGACCGTGGCTTCCTCCTGGAATGTGGCTTCCTCGTCAACATCCTCCTGAACAGACTGTTCCTCAACAGACTGTTCCTCCAATCGCTGCTTTTTGGTAGGACTCTCGTCCACGTCTTCGTCCTCGTCTTCCTCGTCGTCGTCTTCCTCGTTTTCTTCTTCTGACTCCTGCTCCGCGACTTCTTGGTTCTTGGATTCCTCTTCTTCGCTTTCTGGGGCAGGAAGCTGTGACATGATGCCCCAGTTAATCCGACGCTTCAAGATGGTGTCAATCTCGGCGTCAACTTGCTCATTGTCAAGAACTGGGGATCCCAGACTGGAGGGAGAGCGAACACCAGTGTCCAATCCACTGTCAATGCCACTGGTTTCTTCACTTGCATCTTCACTGGTTTCTTCACCGGTATCTTCTTGGGAGTCACCAGAGTCATTGTCCACGGGACCCTCTTCTTCTGCGACTTCCAAATTGTCGATGTAGCGCTCCATCATCCTGAGGTTGATGCCACCCATATTCACCTCGTCGCTGTCATGGCTGGAATCATCAATGGCAGTTTCGGCGACTTCCGTGGTTGGCTCTTCGACATCATTGGCCTCTTCCACACCTTCCGTGAGCAAGTCAATATCACTCAACCAACGATGGTAACGTTGAATGTATGCATCCTCGTCGAATCCCCAGATGTCACAGAACCTGGTTGCTTTGTGTGTTCTTCCGAGAAGGGGTCAGGAAGGATCAACTTCAACTTGAAAAGACGATCATAAATGCAGATGTCGATGTTGTGGTTCTGGTAGGGCAGCATGCTGCGTCCCTTGCCTTCCTGCACAAGATAGCGAATCCACCAGACTCCAGTCATATCGTACTCGAAGACAAACTCGCGAAGGACAGGATAGCCATTGCGAATACGTTCTTGGTTGATTTCGTGAAGCTTCTTGTTGGCATCTCCCTGTAAGTCCATCCCATGAAGAAGCATTTCTTCCACCTTCGACGCACAGAAAGCTAACTCATCTTGGTACTGCTTGCGAGTGGCATGCTGCACAATCTCGTCCGATGCAGTGTCTGGGTTTCTCATTACTCTTGGTCGGGGAAGGTACACCTCTTCGTCATCAGGGTAAATAAGGTCATCAGGCTCGACAAGGGCAGGTAGATCGTCCATGGTGACAGCAGCAAGAATGACAGATTGTAATGACGAAAGTGGCAGGAATGACGAAAGTGGCAGGAATTTGCAGAAACAGTTGCTCTTGCTTTTATGGGACCATCACTCGCACACGACAATCAACCAACGTTGCACTTAAAAGCACGAGCTTGGACAGTCATTTGGAGTATCGGTTCGGTCAGTATGGAGTATCGGCATTGCAATATTTGAGCATTGCTATCGGCTTTGTTGAAGCAAATACAAGCAAATTTCTTTCCATCGCACCCAATTATTGGTTCGAAAATCCGCTGCAGTGATATCTCACTTATTCAGCAACCATTATGGCGAACTATGATGCTGTATGCCAACCACACTACTCGCACAGGTGGGGAGACGTGATTTTTACTACCACAAGATAGTGCAAATGACACAAACATATTTTTTTATTCATTATAGTCTTATTTGTTGTTCTCCTTTTCTTGCACTTGGCTCTTCTCGGTTCCCTCTTCGGTGGCATCTTTCAAGTTCGTAGCAATCGTCTTGACAACCCCATAAGGGGTTGGTTTTCTGTAATTCGCTAGTAGCAGAGCGCGATTCATTGTGGGATTGTCGTAAAACGCAATCAGTTTGTCCAAGAGAACCTGAGTCGTCAACCCTTTTGTTGGCTCTGCTCCTTTGTGATCTAACTTGAACAGTCGTAGATAAAGCACAAGCTTGGACAGTTGCTGGTGATTCAGAGTACAAAGATAGGCATCGAACGTTTCCAGCATCTTGGGTAGACATCGACGTTTCGTGGATGCAGAAAGTCCGCTTTCGTACAGTTTCTTGGTGTTTCCCCGTGCACTAGCCTTGGACAAGTCGCCTCTTGCATTGGCATTAGTCTTCCTCAATAGTTCAAGTCGGCAAGTTAGTAGGTTGTGCTTGCTGCGAAGGTAGATAGCTCCAGGACAATTGTACCCTAGGTGCTTCACACAGTTCTCACAGTCACCAACAATGTTGCCTTCCTTCCACTGTAAATGACAGACGGTCTTGGTGGTTGTCATCATTAGATTCGCTACTGTATCTGGTAAGACGTAGCCTCCTGTCGAACGGATTTCATCTTCAAAAGGACGCTTGTCACCATCCAGCGATGATGCTTGTACCAACCGAATACGACGATCGTTCAGTGGCACACCAATCTTGCGTCCGAGATTGCACAACCAACTGGATGCACGGCCATATTCATCCTTGCCTAGTTCAACAACGTCCACAGCTTCACGTAGGAATCCTGTAACAGCCACTGCGAAGATTGAACCGGTGGAGGGTATTGCAATAGTGCATGGATCGCTTCTTGAATTGGCATCTTCGAGGAGAAGCTTGGGGGCAGTGTGAACTAGGAACGAAGCAAGGGAAGCATTCTTCGAGCAATCTGTAGCAACGCTCTTTATGCCATGTCTGTTGAAGCTTTCATTGGGACAGTTCGATGGATAGACACCAACTTCTCCTGTGCAGGCATAATTCCAGTTCCATTTAGGATGGCGGCAATATTCCTTTTCGAGGTGATCAGCCGCTTTCCCCTCGTCTCTGTTCTCTCTCCAATCCTGTAAGTAGAGTTGCGTGATGACATGTCTCTGCTCGACTGTCTTGGTACTCGCTATATTCGTCACATGACCATAAGCCACACCTTTCGGTTTCGCGAACTCTTTGTCTTTCATCTTGCCAACATAACTGCGCTTTGTCGAAAACGCATGAACGACATGGAAATAGCAGTTTAGGATCGCTTCCTGCTGAAGACAGTTGTCATCGCTATCGGTGCTTTCTGCGTCGTCATTGCTGTCATTATCCACTTGTGTCAGAGGAACGTCTTGTGGCGATGGAGGATAATCTTCGATTTCATCTTCAATGACTGCTTCGCAGATCAGGGTCGTACCAGCTGCTTTAGTAGCGTCGGTGTTGTCGCACAGATGAGGGTATTTCTTGTAAAAAACATGTGCAGAGATGAATGTATCTGCGTCATCTGATGTACCCCAATCGATGGAGAAGTCGATTCCAAAGCACTTGAAGCACAGGTCTCTCATTGCGTACAGTACAAGGCAGTATGGATGTAGTCGCTCTCCACCAGTTCGTAGATAAAGGATTGGTCTGAAGGACGAAGACACATCATCAGTCGTAGACCTAAGCTTCACCGAAATGCTACCAACAGTAATGAGACAGCTTTGATCTCTTATCATGCCACCGGTGCCATCACAACAAAGCTGCCTAGTGCCCTTTCTTCTCTTAGCAAGATGCATGAGCTGGAAGAGACCAGTGGGAGAAAACACTGCAAACGAACCTTCAATCCTCTCTTCAAAGTCGGATGACTTCATATCCGGATGGGTAACAACGTTAGCTTTGTATCGATTCACCACATCACCGCTGCCAAGGTTCATCGCGATCATTACACTGGGGTTAGATAGTCCAAGGCAACACGCAAGTTCATCTGGATTGATATAGTCATCTCTTGGCTGATACATCTTCGGCAAAGAAAGCTTCCAGTTATCGAGAACTCGAGACAAAGTGTCGTTGCTTTGTAAATTGGAATAGCCAAATAGTTTCGACTTCACAAAGGTCTCTCTCTGATTTGCCACGTAGTTTCTCAATTGACGAGTCAAATGCTCTCTGCTTTCGGTCTCGACCACAAGGTACCGGTGATCCAAGAAGGAAGAATCAGTTCGGACAGTTGCAGTGACTGCTTTCAAGACTTCATCTGCAGTCACTCGCAAGATGCATCTGCCTCTCCCAGTTTCTTCAGCGACGAATTTCTTAACGAGAGGAACAATTGCAGGGGAGATTCCATATTGGTCTTTGCAATGACTAGGTCGTGTCCTCGTGGAATGATTGTGCTTTGAATTGCCTTGCCGAACAAACACACGGTATCGATGAGTTGATGCAGACATGGGGCCCATATCTCTTGTTTGAGCCCTCCACGGGCACTTTGGGGTATGAATGTCATCCTTGTCCCCTACACGACAGCAATACTTGTAAACTTTGGTTCCATCATTTCGACTGACTGTCCCATCAGGCTTGATGCATTGCTTGGTGACTCCAGCTAGGTCTACGAAACCACCATAACGTTCAATCAGCTGCGATTTTGCTTCATCGTTCGATCCGCATGGGTAACACGAGGGGTCTTCAACGTACTCCCCAGTACGTGTTGATGTGGCCAATGACGGGTTGGTAGTTGCAAACTCATAGGCGACGGTGTTTTGGGCAGTGTACCTGTAGCTAGGGGCATTCGCAGTAGCATTCCACTCTGCATTGCCATAATTGAAGCGAGTATGGTGGTAATATGGGTAAGCAAACGGTGATGGTACGCTGGGATACGGCACATGCCGTGGATACGCGACATGGTGGGAATACGAATAGGTGGCATAACTATTCCGGTTGCTGTGGCTATGGTCCAAACCACTTCTTTCGTCAAGACTAGTACCGTTGTGGTCATCTCCATTCAGCGAGCGAATATCAAGTTGACTGTACGGTGGCGATGCACGTCTTCTCGACATGGTGAAACAGCGATTCGGCGAGATCTAATACCCAACTGCGATTCTGCGACAGCAATTCTGCGAGTGGAAATGAAACTGATTTGCTATTACTTTTTACATCGCCGAATGCATGCTATGTACTCCAACTTTCGTGGTCGCAAACACTCCATTGGGGTAGCCCACAGAGGCATTTCCAGCAAGGAATTTTCTACAATCATCTCCGAAATGTGAGTAGCCAAATGGAGAGTGCGGTTGGTGGCCAACCTGGCTTTGCACCCACTCCAGACATAGAAGATTCTTTCGAAAGAGACAGCGCTGCTTGCTTTCGCGCTGGTTTCTTCCAGGTTTTCATGCATACAATAGGACATCGTTGGATTCATTCATTTCTGCCACCACTCCAGTAAAAAAGACGAAAAACGGCAACAATGGACGTACCAACCATGCAAACAACACTTCCTTCCACAAAGATACCAACACCGATTGATGATTCGACGCAAGAAGAGGTGTGCAACAGCGGGGCCAGTAAAAGTACATTGTGTTTCTACAGGGTATCTATTTGTAACCACTCACATTTCACAGTCATTTGCAGTGGTTGCAACAGGTTCATGCCGGTTTTCTGATGGTTTGGGCATTCATTCCCGGTCTGGTTCACGTTTCCTTTCGCAACGGTAAGTCATCCACTGCTCATTCGTTCCGTTGTTTTACAACACGCATGTCTCACCCATTCTTAGTCCTCATTTTTTAATCGTCCGGCGCGTTGGCCAATGTGGGTAGCCAGGAGTACACAATTCCCAATAAATTTTCACAAAGAACTTCTTTGACCTTTGCGCCACAACTCGACGAGAAAGAGAAGAATTAAAGGTATCTTTGTATCTTTCTCAGTAACTGTTTTAAAAGAGTCGCGTAACTTCCGGTGTAACCCGTAGCCTCGTAGCGTAAAAAGTTCCTGGCCGGCTTCAACTTCAATCACCTCTCGGTTCTGACGTCTTTATGCTTTTTAAAGCTTCAAGCCCCTTTTATTAAATATTTTGCTTTTCTTTGTGCTTTCGGATTTCAGATCGCTTACCGCTTGAAGTTTCTACTCCGGGCTCCGGGAACGTACTCTGCTGGTGTACTGCTGGTTATGGTGTTAGTGGCGGCAGTGGGCATGCGCAGTGGCTACTGCATGGTTTTACGGCAGTAGACCCACTTCTTTGCTGCCAGTTCCCGGTTTGTACTCGGAATGTCTGGTTTCTGAAACTACTTCAAAAGCTGCTCAGGCTTTAAATATTTAATGGCTCCTTAGGCTCCAAACTCAATAATAAGAAAGCTCCAACTTGGAGTCAGTATTGGAGCTTTCTTAGCCAAGTGCTCTATTTTGCTACTCATTTTATTTCTAACCAAACAAGCCATTTCCAGTATAGAAGACTTTCTTACTATGTCAGCTTCTAGATCAAGCAGTTTAGTGTTTGGATACACCCAGTGCACCTGGGCTTTGGGTCCAACTTGGTCAGGACTCTCAATTGGTTTGGATCAAGTAATAGTGGTGATCAGCAGAAAATTTTGCAAATTTAGGCTCAAGTTAGGAGCATTTTCATGGTGTCAGACTCTAGAGTAGTATTTCTTGTGCTTTGAGGTATCAATACTGGGAAGCTTTCTTACAAGTTTGTGATATTTCAGTATAAAAACATTCTTATCTTTTTCTAAATCTGAGTACTCACTTTCTTATTGGAGTTGCTTACCTTCAGGTTTGGAGTGCAGTGTACAGTATGTATGTTATGCTCATAATATGATTATTACCAGTATGCATGTGCTCTCTCTGTACCGGTTCAATGAGACACGCGGCTATGCACGAGGTCGAGGTTTTTATGGTACCGGTATGGTACCAGTGGTACTGGTACTATTATGCATGTAGTACCGGTATTGTACTGGGAGGTGGGAAAATGGCTCTTTTCATGGTCCATGGGTTGGTTATTGATGGACTTTGCCGGTCAAGTTGGGCTAATGATGGTTAATGACCATTGGAAAGAACCAACCATGACGTTAATACTCTGCCGCTACTAGCTAGCTAGTACCGGTACCAGGATGCTACTAGCTAAAAAGAGATCATCCTCCGGCGGAAACATGGGATCAGCAGTGGTGTCATGGTCAGCCATGGTTACTGGTCAGCCGTGATCACTCGTGGTCAGCCGTGGTCATCGGTGGTCACTCGTGGTCAGTTGTGATCAATAATGGTCAATTAGTAGTACTTTTAGCTGGTAAAATTTGGTAGCAATGGTCAACCGTGGTCAATAGGGATCAATGGTGGTCAGCCGTGGTCGGCGGTGGTCAGGTGGGGTCAATGGTGGTCAACCATGGCCCCTGAAAAGTGACGGTTTATCACAAAAACTTGGATCGGATCTCCGACAACAACGTTCCCAACTACACTGTACCGGCCCACCGTACCTTATGATACGTATTCAGTATTCAGGTACCGGTACGGTACGACTAGTCCGACTGTAGAGCAAAATAGTTGGTTGTGGTGGCTTCAGATTGGCTGTTGGTGGCCTAGTTTGGCCTTGTGGTGTCATTGACGGTCAGTGTGGACCGTACCATGGTCTTTTTTTCCCATTTCCCTGAGATAATATCGCCAGGGGGCTCGGCAGTTGATGTACACAATACACGGTACCGGTACTGGTACAGCCGTACGTTACCAGGTGCGCTGACCCGCATCGTTTGAACGATTGAAAATGGATCCTCGTCTCTTCAACCACTACTAATTCGAAACTCTGCAGATTAAAAATAGCTTGAAAACAATCCTCCAAGGGATCAAGCTCCTTTCTTCTGCGTGACAGAAGAAGGAATAGTCGTCGTCGACTGATGCCAGGAATTTGCTGTTGCACAGCACGCAAGCGATCCGTTGCTTTGGCGGGTCAGGTGAAGGGCGTTCCATGCAATTGGCGACGTTGTCGTCGTCGATGTTGCTGAAGGTTGGATGGAAGTTCATCTGTATGGCTCCATAGCTGCTCCAAACGACCACAGAGTGAGTGACTCGTCAGTCTGCTGCCTCGTGCCACTCGGCACCAGAACTCTAGCTAGTAGCCTGGAGTCTTGTCTCTGTCAAGCACAGTATTTTAGCACTCTCACTTTTTGCTGCATCAAATTTGATGAACTCTGCACATGGCTCCACAGCTGCTCCAAACGGTACCTACCGTAGGATCGGGAGCACCAAAGCGACGTGACCCACCTCTTTACTCAATTTTCAATGGATCTGGAACCGCGAATACAATAGTGGCAGGATTTGACAAGTAGATCGGGCCGTCATGTCATGAGTGGTGCGATTGTCGATTGTGGGCGTGCAAGGTGAACGTGATTGTTTTCCTTCGGTCGAAATCGATTCCATCGATCGATACGCTGGGTCTCTCTACCTATCATCTTGCATGTCTGCTGCCTGTCCAGTAATGTCAGTTGTGGGATTCAAACAACAATTCACTTCGACGCCTTGCGAAGCTATCGATGGGCACGATGTGGCTGTTCGGGTGACTTCATTTGACACTCGCATTTATTTATCAAATGCAGCAAAAAGTGAGAGTGCCAAATACTTGACAGAGACAAGCATCCACGCCACAGTTTTGGTTGCCTCGTGCAAAGGCGAAGCTGATCCCATTCTTGTCGCTCATCAGAAGGTCACTGTCGGAACCGAATGCTATCTCGGTGATCTTGAATACGCGACTCGATCGCGACGCACGTGTCGGATACAGTAATGATTCATTCACCCAGATCAGAAAGCGATTGATCATTGGACCTATTTCAAAGCTCGATCCTCGCATCTGCGATTTCGTAACAACCGAGGCCGGGTTCCTCTTCCTATGGACACGCCAAGCGCCGCCTTGATGGCGCCACTGATACGATTCTTCCCTGGGTTCTTACCAGAGAAATGCACTGACGCTGGAAACTTGATGGATAATAGCCTACTAGTATAGCGGTCTAGGTTTCATATGTCTCGGTCTGCGACTTGTTTGTAAGAGACACGAAAAGATCAAGTGGGCAAGATGCATGGGAGGAGAGCGTAATCGGGAACTCCTTCCTGGCGTCCCCAGTTTTGCCTCTGCAAACTCCAGGTCGCTTTGGATGGGCATGCGACATGCAGGGATCCCGCGATGAGGGATCCCGTGATGAAGGCTCTCTGTCCTATTTGTGATTATCGGGAGCCTTCGAGTTTGTCTCGTTGTGAGAAGGATATCCTGGATCGCCAGTGCATCAACAAATCGATTGTCTTGGTCCCGCAGGATACATCTATTTGCTCAAAGTGCAAACTCTTCGAGAGGCCGATTCACAGTAACTGCCGATTGGCTGTTCCCGCCAACTATGATGGTTCTTACCGTATGCAGTGCTCTCAGGGCGCCTCCTAAAACGCCGCCCCGTCGATTGAGATGGCAAGAGCCGTTTCAACTTGAAATGTCTTCACAGACGATTACCAGAATGTCTATATTCGTACGATCATTTTTTAAGGCTGAAGCTCTTATTCACTTAATTTTGTTTCACATGGACTTCTTGGAAGGTCACTCTTTAGGACTCAGGTAGTTGCATTTTCCAGTTTTCAAGTTGAACCCATCTGCCAAGGACTCAACAATTTTGAACCTCCACCCTTCAGGTACACATCGCTCGCCCGAGGCGGCTCTGACTCCACCACGAGTGCCTTTAGCCGGAGCCCTAACAGCCGGAGCCTTAACAGCGGTCTTGGCGGCGGCCTTGGCGGCGGCCTTGGCGGCCTTGGCAGCAAGAGCTTGGGCACGGTCACTAGCACTAGGACGGTTTGCACCAGCATAGCGAACAACTTGAAGAGCGCGGCCGCCTCCACGTCGTTTTGGGCCACGGGGTTTGCCTCCGCCGCCACGGTCCGATTTGCCTGGTCTTTCAGAGCGCTTTGGTTTTTTAGGGCCTTCTCCAGGTCGGTACGAGGCACCGGCCAACCGGGGAACGCAATCTTCAACAGAATACACCATTTCGACACTCGCACCGTCGCATGCACCATCTTGTACGCAGCTGTGGGCACCAACTCGACCAACGAATTTCTCGCAAGCTCTTGTACCAGTGCAACTTCCATAACCAATTTCATGGCCAGGACCTGGGACCAACACGGCGCCGTAGCAGGCTCTTGTCCCTTCACAACTGTAGTTTTCAACACTGATGGGTTCGTTGCATGCCTTTTTAGCTTCGTTGAATTTAGCAGTCAAGCCATAGCAGGCTTTGGCTCCTCGGCAGCTCCCAGGTTCAAACGTCGTAGGTTGAGCAATCTGCCCGCATGCCTCTTCTCCCTTACAGGCTCCTGTGCATACCGTCACCTTCATATCATCCGGCCAAGAGCAAGCATTTTTACCATCAAAACTAATACAGCATTGTAAGTTGGGATTATTGGGGTAAGCTTGTTTACAGCTTGCAGCCACCTCGTTGGCGGTGCCAGTGAAGCATATAGCTTCAACGACGGAAGGGGCAACTGCGATGAAGCCCAAGAAGGAGATGACAGAAGTAGAGAGTTTCATGGTGTTTCGATTGATTATTAAAAAATAGTTTGTTTGTTTGTAGATGTTCTTCTTCCTGCTTTTGAGTCTGCGAAGAACCAAATTGTGAGCTTTGTTTGTGCTGCAAACAAAACAAAAGGTCGTGGACCAACTGGGTCATTGTTGCCAGTCTCTCAGTCATTGAATCAATTTCTGCACCATGGTACAGTAACCGGTTCGTGAAGCTGACGTACATGTGTAGAATCCAATCACACTTTCTGCACCGTCCGGGAAGATGACAAATGTTTTTTGACAGTTTCGCAAGGTGTGAAAACTAGCTTCACAAGTGCTTCAAATTGAAACCGCTCTCACGGAAAAACGTGAAACCAGCTTTCGAAATTGTTGAACTGTGTGTCTTTTGTTGTGGATTTTCACAAATCCATGAGTCTAGACCTACCGGTGGTTGAAAAATAAAACTAGCTAAAACTGTAGTTTCACCAGAACTAAAAACCAATAAAATTGAAACTGCAGTTTCATAGTACTTGCAAGTAGTGGGTTTCCGGACGTTGCTGTTGGCTGCTGGTGGGATGCTGGGATCCTCCAGCGTGTTTTGTTTTGTGAATGTGACCGGATGGGCGTCCAATTTGGAACTTGGAAAGAGTCATTGTCAGAGTTTCGGTATTTAAAGGATTGTCTCCTGAATGACAGTTTCTATTCATGTTTGCTATACTTCTATTACAGGAGAACAAGCACAAAATGCGTAGATGAGGTAAAACAAATCAATTCTTTATTAGAAACATAACTGAAACATTCACTGCAATTGTTAGCTTATTCCTATACTACGGTACCTCATCTACCAATTTATAAGCAGTCTTCCAGTTTGGGGCATGAGGAAGAGGTGCCAGTTCATTTCATATAAGACAGGTCAGACTAAAATCCGCGCTTGCACGTTTGAGCAGATTTCGGTCATTCCAAGGAGTTAACATCTTTGGGCTCAGAATTAAAAGACGAATCTTGTGGTGTGCTACACTCTATATAAAAGCGATTAACAAGCGAGTCATCGAGCACTGAAAATAAATCTTTCCCCCCGTAGGCTCCGGTACAAGTTCTACGTGGTTTTAGAGTAAGGGATAATCTTTGGATCGCCAAAGTCATTCGTGCCCCCGGTTGACGACAGACCGATGGTGGAGGATTTTAGTCTGACCGTTCTTATATTTGTTGTACAAGTGCCCCTACCCGAAGCAGTCTTCCAGTTCGAGGCTGTGCCAGTTCATTTCACATTTGTTTACGAGTGCTCCTACCGGAAGCAGTCTTCCAGGTTGAGGCATCAGGAGAGCTGCCAGTTCGCCCAGCCAGTTCATTTCACAAACAAATAACCATAAAGGTACCGGGACTACAATTACTCAGGAAGACTGGTGTCTGTTATATCCTACATCGAGGGGAAATGGTACAATGCACAATGCACAATAGTTATTACTCCAGTAATAGACTAACGATGTCGTATCGATATCGGTAGAGTACGACTACTAGCTAATACAGCTACTATTAAAATAGCTAGCTGGCCTATTCGGCAGCAAGTAGCTGATCTATTTCTAGCTAGTACCGTAGTCTAGACCCCGTGTTGCAGTAGATATTATTAGCATGTCGATTCATTCCAGAGAATCGAGCTAAACCGCGGTACGAGGACCTGCAACTTGCACAAGGAAAACCGTGGGTGCGACTTGGATAGTGCTATTGCTGGTACGGTACCTACCAATACATGTAGCAGTTAGGTTTAGAAAGACGGCAACGAATGAATTGAACAAACCATGACATTGAGCATCGCATCGGAATACAGACCGTTGTCCACTATCTGGCTACTGCCTGCGACCTAGTAGTTAGTCTAGTCAACAAATGGATTCGATACTGGTATGAACGTAAAGTGATAATGACCCGCAGAGAGTACCGCGTCGACTCAGCGCCATTTGCAATGACATTGTGATGCTGGCAAGTGCGATTCTTCATGTCGGAGTCATGGGGTCATCCATTGCAAATCTCTTCTCTGGCAACTCCAACCAATAGAGATAGAAAGGCGGAATTAGCTCGTCTCGGGGTCATCTCTTGTCAATCTCTCTGACACATCCAACCACTAAAGACGACAGCATGCAATAGCATTCACTGGAAAGCGGTGAGGCGAAACTGCTTGCATGAACAAGATGGGTGTGAACCTGCATCTGCCCTTTTGACTATCATGATTAGTCTAGGTAGGCGCCAGTTGGCGATCCTGCCTCGACACTTGTCTGCGCGGAGAATAGCGCAACCTCTGGCCATAGCGTGTAGAGCTCGAGCTGAAGTCGGCGATTGGCTGATCAAGTGAGAATTGTTGTTGAAACGGGTGCGAGTGAAGGGGCCCCACCGAAGCATTTGGTACAAGCATGCATTCAATGTAGGGCCAACGAACAACCGGACAAATGCATTGAATTCTTAGAGCATGTTGCAGCTTGGGAGCAACGTTGCTTCAGATCGGACACGCGGTGTGGCATTGCGACGGAAGAATCCAGGAAGCCCCTCCGTGTCATGGTTGCATGGACAGACAGTTTATTAGGCTGGTTTTGACAACACACAAAATCTGCTGGACAGAATAGCCTTGCTGTGACACAAGACCATACTGTACCATCTGAAGGCGTCTGCTTAACCGGTGCCCGTTCCAATGCCCTTTGGCTGTGGCAAGCAGCCGGCAGTGGACACAAGCGGAGCGTGGATCTCTTGCACAACACAGTCTGCTTGGATTCCCGTCGGTCCTTTACTAGAGGTGGGGACAGATTGACCTCTGGACCAAGTGGGATGCACTGTAGGCGAGTCTGTTTCCGGGTAGCTAGCCTACCCACACTTGCTTTGAATCACGATCAACTTGCTTTTACAGATACTTCTAAGCTCGAGTTGAAACGAGAGATTGCAGTTTCTAGACCCGGATCACGTGCATGGAAGCAGGGAGTTGGCGATGGGACACTTCTTTTGTAGTGAGGAGTTCATGCTGCGATTCAATACCCCCTTCTGCGATGCTCAAGAAAACAAAGTGCAATCGCGATGAAAGAAGCTCGTGGACGTCCATTTCCTGCAAGTATCGTGGCTTTTCAAAGTCTCGTTCAAACAATTCATACACAAGTTGGATGGACGGGCTGCACTAGATGGATTTTAGCTTTTGACCTCTACTTTATCTTTAGTTGTTCTTACATCTATCCATCATGCGTGGTTTGGTTGCTTCCGTGTCCTTCTGTGGGACCAGCCATGTTCTCGGATTTGAGGAAGGACTCTAGTTGCCACCATTGGCGCGTGTTTTGGTCATCATTTCCGGCCCAGCATTGCCGTGGACACCTCCAGCTTTCTTGGAGAGGAGAACACCCTCAGTATTGACACTTCCAGCCTCCACAAGGAGAAGGACGGGTGCCTCCGATGAAGCAGCATTGAAGGCAGCATTGACCGGCTCCATCCCACAAAAAGCCGATTGAAGAAAGATCCTGTTCGAATAGATTCGAATAAGCGGATTATTCAAATCGATTGACAAGATCTTGGAGCTATCGTATCTTCGTTCAAACCCAACGCGCGTTTCTTCTCTTTGTCAATCAAGAGACGTGCCTCTGGTCCATGGTCAGTAATAAGACTTCGTAATCTATGTAAACAAGCCAGTATAAAGTGCATGATAGTGACAAGGCGACGCAGGCATCAAGGATTGTGGAGATCCATGAAATATGAACAGAAGTTACTGCTGGGAACCATTTTGGTGGCCACCACAGCGCCGTTGGGTTTGCTGTGGCTGGTTTCGAACGATGACGGCATGACGTTGGAACTCTTATCGGCTGCCAAAAAGTACACTCAGATTGGGCTGGATGAAACGCAGAGAGGAACCCTCGATTGGAATCCACGGCTCTTTGAAACCTCGGGACAAAAATGGGATGATTTGATTTCTACAGGCAAAAGCTGTCTCTGGAAAGAAGAAGAAAGCATCCACACGAATCAGGAATCCGGTGGTGGGATCCAACAAGAAAAAAAAGGCGGTTGGCAGTGTCAAGATTGCGGTACTACAGAACGAGACAAATGTGTGCCACTCGAACCAAGAGGAATTTGTAAGCTTTTCAACCTTTTGAATTGGGATGCCAGCAGGCATCGTAAAACGGCACATTTTCGAACCGAAGCCTTTGATCACGCCACTGGATGGGTGACCACTCATGCCACACATCCCACCAACTATGAACAGGCCCCGTGTACGTCGGATTTGGCGTTGCCCTGTTTTGACCTGTCACGCTGCCCCAAGGATCAACCCATGAAGGTGTACGTTTACACTTCGGAAAAGAATGGTCATTTGACAGAAACTGTAGATTTGGCATCGAAAAAACTGCCAGGAGATATAGAATGGACCACCAAGCACGAGGAAGCGTGTCTTTTTGTGGTGTCAGAATTGGCATTTGAGACCAAAGAAGAAATGCTCAACAACCCACAGTATATGGGTAAGTTTGTCGACTTGGTTTATTTGGCGTGTCATTTATTCTTGTTGTTGGCTAACATTGTTATTTATATTTTGGGGTCTCTGCGATCTTCATCAACACACGACAACCACAATCTGCCTGCAAACAAAATCGTGTTTACATAGCTGGTCAAAACCATTTTATCTGGAATTCGGGTGTCTTCTTTGGAGCTCATGGCGATAGGCCTCATCCGCACCACTTCAATTTTGAGTTTGCTGCCTTGGCGGCGGGAGGGTTTACGGATGCTCACTTTCGTCCCGGATACGACATGAGTCTGCAATTGCCACAAGTCTGGAAGCGACCCAAAGAAACGACCCACTTGGATTTGCATCGTCCCAGGCGACTGCTACTAAGCTTCAAAGGAGTTGTGGATAGCTATGATGCCAAGCACACGATTCCATTTCAACACCACCGATGGTTGGCATTGGAGTATTGGGATACAGGTCCCGATATTTTTGTGGATGTGAGGTGTCCATACGACAATGTCGACTATCATCATGCCAAGGATCAGTCTGACGCTACATCATCCTATGGAGAGTTGCTCTTGAATTCCACCTTTGCATTTGCTCCTGGTGGTGGTGGAGCCAGCAGTTTTCGCTTCCAGGAAGCTCTAGCAGCGGATTCAATCCCCGTTGTGGTTTCCTATGTTGTACTGCCGTACTCACCTGAAATTGATTGGTCTGGGTGCGTCGTCAAGGTCTCCGAGGCCCGTATCGCGGATCTCCCTCAAATTTTGCGAAACATGCCAGAATCAGAGATTATGGCACGAAGAGACCGGTGTCGGGTTCTCTACCGTGGACTCATTGGAAGGGAACAAGACGACAAAACTGGAGACTGGGACATGGCATCGCACGCGGGGCATGCCTTTTTGTTTGCCTTGAAGATTTGGCGGCAACGAATTCTCAAGGCTCATTTGTTGCAAGAATTGGTGGGGGAGCTGGATACTATGGTGGTTCATACCGCGCTGCATGAGAGCGAGTTCAAAACCAATGAACATTTTTATTGAACCTGTCGGTACCAGTATTGGGACTCGACTAGATACAGAGGGACATCAAGTACGAGCGATACTGGTGGACGGCAAAATCGATTGCCCTTCATTTGACAATGCCGCATTGAGCAACAATAAACACCACCGGTACAGCTGATCGCTGGTTACTAATGTCGATGTAGCAGTGGCCACCACGTTAGGATGGTCCATGACACCGGAGGTCGCAATTTGCCCGAAAGCTCGAGCCTAAGAGCCAGCAGAGCTGTGAGTCGTACTTTGAAAAAATTCAAAGCAAGGGGATCATGCAACATTGGTTCGTTCAACAGATTGAACTGGTGAGCCCAACCAACGGAAGCTTCATCAATCACCCTGAGCGGATGTATCCTTCCTTTTCCTGCATCGACTTTGTCACCGGATGTCAATCGTCCTGTCACCGGATGTCAATCCTCTGGCAGGAACTTCAGAAAGGTGGCGTGACGAGAAAAAGCACATATACAATCAACAACAAATCAGCAACACTGAAGACCAATGCATCGTATCAACAAATTCAAGAGCGCATGGGGGATATTGCCGATCGACCAACGAGACACCGTGTTACCAAGTGCCAACACCAAAGACTCCAAAGACTGTGCACAACAGCAGTCAGTTGTCACGTGCACTATTATCAAGGAAACCCCGGATTCCAAAACCGGCATTGCCCTCGAGCAACAAGGAAGGAATGTTTGCATCAGCCACATCATTCCAGGGAGGCTTGCTTCAGGGACTGCTTTGAGACCTGGCATGAGGCTAGTATCCGTCAATGACATGCAATGCCAGGGCTGCAGGTTCCAACAAGTCTCTCAATTACTGATGGATGCGGTCGGGACTGTAACCATTGTAGCAGCGGGGACTCCTGTGTCAAACCAAGTCGAAAATAACATGTTGTTCGAGGAAAAGCAAGACGGCATGAGAATACCTTCATTCGTCCTAAGGAGCTGCCAACCGGTTTCTGTAACAGATTCATCGACCAGCAACAACAAGAGACGGCAAAGAATCCAAGCAAGGAGTGCCGCACGTAACAAGCAAGTACTCTGCAAACGATTCGGCATTCGATTGGCAAGTGGCTGTGATAATAGTGATGTCATGATTGTCGAAATCCTCGACAGGTCGCCGTTTTTGCTCGGCAAAAAGACCAGTGCGACGAACGCTGAAGTCAAAGTTGGCATGACCATTCTCAGCATTCAAGGTACTAGCTGCAGAGGCAAAAGTGCAGTGGAAGTGGCCAACCAGCTGGACATACTATCGGTGGGCAGTAAGTTCCTTGTGGTCTTGGGTCGATCCGACGGCACCATTGTCCGGACAGTGTGGGGAACCGCACAAAAGCGGAACCGTACGAAGAACAAGCACAGGCGATAGATCCGGAACGGAGCCTTAAAACTAATTTTGTCATCACTAGCTCTAAAGGTTGTATTTAGTGATTGACCGACTCGTCACTCGCTATGGCGTCAAAATGTGTTGCTGAGCCAGGCTTGTTCGATTTTTTGCATGAGACCATCGAATCGTATCGCTACCAAGCCACATCAGCAGCATATTCTAGCATAATTGCACGGGATCTATCACCAACACTCCCACCATTCCCTACTTCACCTTGGGGGCTGTCACATAAAATAGATTGACGGATTGAGCTGCAGAAAGTAGAATGTAACCGATTCGTTTTTCCGATGCTTCACCACCATGTTGATCCAATCAGCCCGTGTTGTTGTTGCTGCTGTTGTCAGGTGGGGAGATTGGCTTAGGAATGGACGTCTTCCAATGGAATTTAGATGGAGATAGAACTGCAGTTGTTCCAGAGCCATCTGGTTAGGGTCTTTGTGATTGTCCATCATCAGAGGCCATTCATAACGTTCTGTGCAAAAATTTTGCCATTGGAGGCCCTGTCTTTTAAATTCCAATTTCTCCAATGTCAGATTTGTTGCTGCTGCATCACACAAAGCCATGACTTCTGGGTTTTCATGGCCCTCTTCTATCTTAACTTGCTGATGATCAGTAAGAGTGCTCAATCTGAGGGTTTTCAATCCAACATTCCGAGCCAACCCAAGAGCAATGGGTTCAAGTGATGCCTTGCCCTGAACAGGCAATGTCAATTCTCCCAGAGATGTGGCTTCTGCAATGGTTTGCCCTATGCATTCATTGACTCTTTTTTCGGATGTAGTGCATGAGTCGACGCCCTCGCTGTAGAAGTCACAGGAGAAGCGCCTCAAGGTGGAGCATTGACCAACAGCATGGCACAAGTCCAATATTAAATCCAGTGATGGTACTTCGACACTGTCCAAAATCACATCTCGAAGCGTGTCCCTTTTCTGATGCAGCAACCAAGTGACATTTGGAAGTGTCAGACCAAGGGGTCGATGCAAACCTGGCGGCGGCGGCAAGCTCAAAACATTTTCCAGATGTAGAGTGTCCAGCCGTGGCACCTGACTCAAGCCTAGTTGGACCCACTGATTGGGCGGAATCACACACGTTTTGGCCACCACATGGCGCAGTTGGGAGCAGCAGTCATCACCAAAAACCGTCCAAAAAGCATCCATTGATTGTCGCAAATCCAATTTGTTGAGGGTCAAATGTGTCATTTTGTGTCCATTGAGTAGGGGTGCACTTTGCCTGAGTACATCAGCCAAGCTTGCTGCATCAATGTGGTAATTCCTCGTTTCGAGGCCCACTGTGGGAATGAGGGTGAACAAGAGATCTGGAGAAGTAATTCGAATGGGAGGTCTTGGTGGATCAAAATCAATCTTCAATTCAAAGTCCTCTCTTTCTCTGTCAGTGTTAACGTTGATGTTGTGGTGCTGGGTGGTTGAAATCCTTTCCAGTGCCGCAGCCACATCTTCTGGGCTCGACAGTGTAGCCTTCATCTCCTCCTACTTCGGCCAACTACGCAATGGTACTAGTCTAGCAAGCACAATGTAAGGCATAATATCAGCCGCGGTTGTCCTTCGTTCTTACTTTTTCCCCTTTCGCCAAAAACAAATAACAATAATAATGCTGTTTTGTGTTTGGGGGGGCTTGATGTGAGATTGAAGCCCCCTGACCCAATTTAGGGCAGGAAGGTTCGGTCTGAGGCCACCTGGGATCTGGATCTTCTCCCTGCTGGCTTTCACGCACCAGCAGCAATCACGAGTTCAAAGCCAGTGTGCTTTACTCAGTCAGTGCTTTACAAAGCAAGAAAGCAAGTAAGTGTGCTTTTCTCAGTCAGTGCTTTACTCGATGCTTTACTGAGGCTGTCATTGGTGCTCCATTAAAACAAAGCTTCGAAGTGGTGTTACTACTACTAGTCCTAGACAAGTGGTGTACTATTACTCTCTCTAGAGAAGCATAGCAAGGATCGAAGAAGGCTACTGGTACAGGATGAGTAACCGAGGACTGGTGACGGAAACTGTGACTTGTAGTTACGGGGACTGTGTCAGGATCAGTGAAAACGAAGTCAGAGTGGTTGGATTTGAGAGTAGTCTATGTGGGCAAGGAGCCGCTATGTCTAACAAAATAGAGAGACACAACAACATCAACTAGCTAGCTCAGATAAGGGCTTCATGTGCAGAGAGATACAGCAAGCAAATGCCTGATGGAATTAAAATCATGTGATCAAGAATCGGCTGGAAGCCAGTTATTTGTCACAATGCCCACTGCTTGATTCGAGAATGCACTGGAAATTATAACTCTCTATGAGCAACAGGAAATCTAACTTGGCAAAAATGAGGGCCAGCACCTCTCTGGTGTGGTACGCGTAGGGTGTCAGGTGGGAGCTGTCGTCCCAGCCTGTAGCTGTCATCCCAGCCTGTAGCTGTGCTATTGTCCCAGCTTGTGTCCCAGCCTGGAGCTGTTGTCCCAGTCTGTAGTGGTTGTCCCAGCCTGAAGTGGTTGTTCCAGCCTGTAGCTATAGCTGTAGCTGTTGTCCCAGCTTGTAGCTGTTATCCCAGCCTGGAGCTGTTGTCCCAGCCTGTAGTAGTGGTTGTCCCAGCGTGAAGCGGTTATCCCAGCCTATAGCTATAGCTGTTGCCCCAGCCTATAGCTGTTGTCCCAGCCTGTCGAGGTTGTCCCAGCCTGAAGCGGTTATCCCAGCCTGTAGCTGTAGCTATTGTTGGACGGTTTGTGGCTTGGTGCTTCCGCTCCTGTGAGCTTGGCGGTTCCGGTATGCTTGCACGGACTCTCACTCGACACTTCTTCTGCACTTCGCTTTGCCGCTTTTGGTTGCCTGTTCACTTGTTGTTCTTGTTGGTATATTGTCATCCTTCTTCTTGTTGCCGTAGCAGTAGTTTGGTCGCTTGGATCATTTCGGTCGTCTTATTGTTCTTGCTGTTGCCGTCCTAGCTGCGAGCAGTAGTGGTCTTTCGTTGTTGTTGCAAATTTGTTGCTCATTCCAGCCTACTTCTTGTTGGCGATGAATCTTCTTTCGTGGTGTCCTGAATGTCCTGATGGCTACCATGCGCTAATGGTCAAAGCGCAACTCCTTGTATGACAGTCCTTCCGTAGGACCCGTCAATCTTTCTTGATTGGCCTGGTAGTCTGCCTTGTTGTGCATCGGGTTTCCGTCGCACCTCTCTTCTATGAGCACATGTTTCATGGCCCTCTTGTTGGGTCTTCTGGAACTCCCACGGAAGTACCTCTGTAGTCCCTGTTGGAGCTTGTTATCTAGTTCCTCTTTCGCGGCAGCACTCTTTGCGCCGCTCTGGCTTCTTCTTTTCCGTGTCGGCACTGCTTTTTTTGCTTCTTCTACTGCTGCCGACACTCCTGCTCTTGTTGTTGGTTTTTGTTCCTAGCTTGTACGATGGCCGCGCAGCACAAGACTAAGTCTTGGCATGTAGCTGTAGACTAGCTTGTAGCTGTTGTCCCGGCCTGAAGCGGTTGTCCAAGCTCCCAGCTTGGGAGCGGCCGGCTTGCCAAATAAACGTAGATTCCACTGTAATCCTCTGGAGGGCATTCTTAATTCCTAGCTAGCTAGCTAGAGGAATTCATCGAAGTTTTGTAAAATGTCTTACTAGCTTTTTATGAATCTGGTGTTAAATCATCTAGCCCTCTTGGTTCACTTCAAACCATAACCAGAAGTGATGGTTTAAAGTACGTGAAAGGATTTCCTTTGAACCAATCCTTACTAATTACTAGTGCATGCTTTAACATACCAAAATCACTTCAAGAAGGCCTCTTAATTGCAGAATCAGCTTTTGTACTCTTTGCCCCTATTCAAAAGAGCGAAAGTAAATTGCACGAGCCACCCCCAGACCCCCTTCTATGTTTAAATCGTGAGGTGACCTCACGAATACCGGTACCTGGAACTGCACGGCACATCCCTGACTACTGTTCTAGCTACCGTATGCATGGTACCGGTACAGGTAGTCACTCTGGATGATCTCCAATGTTGCTACTGGCGACTGCCACCATGTGTGAAGACCAGAGTACCAGCATCCATAGTACCGATACCACTCCTGTCAGTATTCAAGGAACACTGAGAAAGGAAGCCAAAATAGGAATCCTGAGAAGGAAGCCAAAATCTGGTATGAAGGCATATCTGTTGGTCATTGTGTGAAATTGACACCAAGCCTGACTTGTTCTGCAAGAGCCTGCTATCATGGAGCACCAACAAGATGATGCTTTTGGTTAGCCCAAGTATTGTTGGTCCAGACTTTGGGCATGCAAAACAAAAACGAAACCTGGGAGATTGTCAAGCAAAAACATAGGTTTCGTTGTGTGTGCCAGGAAACATGAAAGAAAATGTTAGACTATTTACTATCATCACCACGAAGAAGGTTTATGGTAGTGCTGTGATAGGGAACTCATTCGTGAGATGAGGAGAGAGTAACTCATAACAAATTGGACCTGAGCGAGGCAAGGCAAAGTTTCCTGTCCATGGACCTTGGAAATAGCCTACCCGTATGCAGGTAGGTATTGTAGCCAAAACTGATGGATCAAGACATTGGACTTTAGAAGTGGGCTGAGGTTGGGATGTTGGGGGAGCTTGGTACAGCCCCAATCAACCCCAACACTACCGTATGTTTCTGAGCAACTGTGGGTCCTGAAATCAATCCAGATTCACCTCAACGTCTGACGCCGCCAGACGTCATTGGGCGGTAAAAAAGCTGGTAGGAAACGAAACATCGAGGACAAGATCTAGCGAATTTGATTGGAAAATCCAGGGTTCGCAACAAAGATATGGGCGTCAATGAGCCTTCTCATATCCACACAAAGTCTCAGCAGGACTCGGAATCCTTAAGAGACAATGGATTCGAATGATCTCTGTTGTTCCGATTCCTCTTCCACCCCCAATGCGGAAATGGTGGCTTGGATCTCGTGGATACCTTTTCCCCCGTCCCCAAGTTCTCATCCATCAGCCGATCTGATTGGAGCCTTCGCTGTTTGTGTTGTCTATAACGAGAATTAACTAATTGGATCAAGCACATGGACTAAATAGCACAGCACCCCAAGCTGTTGATACTTATTAGCTCAAAGACGGTACTCATACATCATCCTCCAGCGCGAACCCCTCCATTGATACAATCTGAGGATAGGAAGGCCTGTCGACTGCGACGTCTTAGAGAGAATTCTAGAGCAGGCCAGAGCAGCTGGGTATCTCATTCATTCGTTCATTTCAAACTAATTATGGATACACTCTATGCCACAATGATGATGGCAAGTTTCCAACAACAAGGAAATCGATCGGCACCAGGCAAAGGAAGTCCCAACAGCAGCAATGCTCTGTTGGCTCCACGCAAAGTCACAGTGATCGATCATCCTAATCCTCCAGTAGTTAAAGAAGACAGCAAGTCGCCCACAGCGGTAACCGCAGGCACTGAAAGTAGTAGCCAACAACAACGAGAAAACGGTGATGGCAGTAAGAGTTCTACAGAAGGCTATGCGAACCCCCCATTTTTACCGAACCCTAACCAAACCATCAATTCAGCCAAGCGGGACGAGGATCCACCTGTATCCGCAACAACAACAACAATAGAAGAACAACCTCAGACGACGACGCAACAACCGCAACATTCCTCCCTAGTCTATGTGAATCGAGCCAAACGAGCCGCCAGTAATAGTATTGTGGAAACAGAAGAAGAGAACAACCAGCAGAACAAGCGAACATCGGCATTCTACTCGACATCCTCTGCGGCGGCAGAAGCCGAGGCAGAAGCAAGACGTCATATACGTTTGTCTTGTATCAAGTCAGCAGCAAGAGCGATCGATGGACAACCGCAGTTGATTGTCATGTCGGCTACATCACTTCCAGATCCTCACCCTGACAATAATAATACCAAGGCGGCCACTCCGGTCAGTCCGGGTGCTGTGGCTCCCACGCCTCCTCCTTTGGATGGACCCACAGCAACCGCCGCTCCAGCTTCTACTACTACTGTGACGACAAGTCTGAATCGAGAAACATCCACCGCGTCGACCGCTACGTCGTCCACGGTGGGAACGGACGTGTTCGGTCAACCCATCCCGGCACGGGGTGTCCCTCATGTCTATCACGACTTTGCATCGGTTCCAGATAGTGTGGGATATGTCCGCAAAAAGACGGGTGGAGTCACACAGGTACGTACTGTTTTGTGGCTGTCTAGCTAGCTTAGCTACTATCCATGGACCAGCTCTCACCCAATCTATATTCATGCATTCATTCATAGCCCTTTCCGGAAAAGTTGCACGAACTATTGGAAAAGGAATCGACGCCGGGTTTCCGAGAGAACGTACATGCCATTGTAGGCTGGTTGCCTCATGGACGTGCCTTTTTGGTACGCAAACCAAAGGAGTTTACCAGAGATATCATGCCCAAGTAAGTACTACATATAGCTAGCTAGCTAGCTTTCAAGTGCTAGCTTTGTGGCCAGTAAAGGCTGACAGCCTGGCCATTCCTCTCTTCTACTATAGGTACTTTCGACAGACCAAGCTGACTTCCTTTCAGAGACAGTTGAACCTGTATGGATTTCGAAGGATCACACAAGGGACGGATGCGGGAGGTGAGTTTTGTTTGCATGGCATGGGTTCGGAAGCAGCATTGCTCAAAGATCCCTACGAATTATGATGTCACGATGAGAAGCCTACCGCTTCTGGCAACATATCATTACTAACACGCCATGGTCTCCATCTATCTTTTGTAGCCTACTATCATGAACTGTTTCTGAGAGGACGGCCTCAACTGTGCCTTCGCATGGTCCGACAAAAGGTCAAGGGGACGGGACACAAGCAACCCGCGGATGCGCAGACGGAACCAAACTTTTATGCGTTGCCGCCCACTACCGCTACGACTAGCACCACTGCCAGTCCAGCCGTCACGTCCGTGGCATCACCGCCGTCGGTTCCTTCTCTGCCGCCAACATCGCCACCACCATGTTCGGCTGCAGCCTTGCAACTGGGAACCGTACACCATGTACCGTTGGCGGCAGCGGCTCCCACGGCGCCGACCCCAAGAAGAAGCTTCACAGCACAGGTGGAAATGTCACCCGGGACACAGGGAGTGCATGGTGCTGCCAGTCTATTAAAGGGGATTGCCGCGGGGTTGGCGCCAAGTCGATTGAACAGTATCGAGATCAATCCCAGTACGGCGGTGCCCTTTCTGGGACCGCCGGTTGACAAACCGTACGATAGCACTGGAACGATGCTCGCATCGGGGCCGCCGTCGTTGTCCTCTGCCAGTGCTACGGGTGCGGTGGCACAGCAGCAGCAGCAAGAAGAAGAACAACAACAATCTGGCACGGCTTCGTCATCACCAACGCCCAAGCAATCTTCCTATTCCACACTGCTTTGGGGCGGGGGGGCACCGGCACCAAGCCCAGCACCGGCGCAGCCAGGGGCTTCCTTCTTGTGGCCTCCTGCTCCGACGGCGCCTCCGACATCGACCGAAAATGATGCTTCGTCCAAAGGGCCGACGACAGAGAATCAAGAAGCTGTCTAGCTAGTCAGTCAGGTCAGCTTGCCATACACCAAGTTCAGGAATCGATCGAGCCTTCTGCTTCGATGACAAAGCGCAACAAACACAACAATAGAGCCCGCCTGTTATGCTCTGAAGCTTACTTGTCCCAGAATCACCAAACAAAGCAACCGCCTCTTAAATTTCGGCAGTATATCCGTGACTGCTGGGTTCGCATACACACAAGTAGACACGCCTTCAGAAACAATTGGCTGCGATACTTGTCCTGTATCCAACAAGGCGAGAACAAGGCGGGCCCATGATAGCTCCCAAGCTACTTAGAATAGGTGACCACCACAATTTAACAAGCTAGCTTCGGGAGAACCGGGCTAGCTTTATAGTAGATTCATTATCTCATACACAAAAGATTGGCTTTTCCCCGTAACCCCATGCACATCCAAGACAAGTTCGACAGAAAAAGAGGCGTCCTCTGTTCAGCTATATCTCCGCCATCTGCCTGGAGCGGCCGTATAAACCGTGCTCGTATCCACTAGAGTCGCTCTCCAAGTCGAACTCGTCTTGCACAGGATTGTTCTGAATATCTTCGAGAACCCTATTGTTGCCGGTTCGCTTGCGTTTTGCGTCAAGGTTCACCCACTGTCTCTTGCGCCATGTAAGCTGAGCTGAAGGAACATACCCTTGCTCTTTACCCCACTCATTGTCACGAGGCGGTGAAGACACTCGTGAACGTTTCCGGCAACTGAAAGCCTCTTCGACGACGAGGCCATCCTCCTCGGCCTGATCCGAAGCATCGTGGCGACTCGTGATTCCAAGCACCGAGCCTGGAAAAGATTCTTCGCGTTCTTTCTCGTCTTCTCGGGCCTGTTTGTTATCACCCCCTTCGCTGACTTTGCTACTGGTAGGATAATATGGCAGCATAGGAGTCACCGAAGAGGTGTCATGTAGTTTCGAAGACGTCGTGGACTCAAAGCTGTTGGTGGCAAACGTAGCATGATCCGCGAATGATTCGCCTATGCCTGACTTGTCCTGTGGGCCACAGCTGAATGTACCCCATTGCTGCTGACAACACACTTGCGAATCAAGCCATGGGTGCATAATTCTCGACACCCACGTGTCGGTATCGTTTCGGATGACAGGTCGTGGCGCAATCCCTGCATTCCCAAAGTCCCTCATAGGATCCGGCGGTGGCGTTGGGACGGTCTGAGGTTGTGTATGGCCATCCTCAACGGATACCCTAAATTGTTGTATTCCCTTAATCTTCCTGGGAGTGATCAGTTTGGGATCAACTATGACAACCTCATCGAATTCGCCAGTCTCGAAAAAACCCTGTTCAATCGCAGCCGGGCTCCCTGGAAGATGGAACCGTACCCTGCGCTCTGCGTGGTAGACAGTAGTAACCTTCAGACAAGTACCGGTACACGGTGAGACAAAGGAATCCGTTGAATCACTGACTCAACACGCCTTGCAACGCTGCGCATCACTGAAACACTCACCTCTGCTTTGCGGTTCCGAAGGATCGAAACACCGGCTTTCGCGCTCTTGTGTTGGGGCTGCTTTACGTCTAATCGCAACTCGTCTTCTTGGAACTCTTCTGCGTCGCCAGGGCTGGTGGATCCTATTGGAATGAACAGGTATTTTCGCCATGTCCAAGCAGCCATTCCGAGCATCAAAACTGCGAAGGCGGAAGATAGACTCACTGCGATAATGGCGAGACGCTTAGTACCGTCGAGGGATGATGAGCTTGGCACGTGAGTAGCGCTGTCTCGGCGAATGGCAATGATGTCATGGTCATTGGAAGGGCTTTCACCGTTATCAGTGTGTTCGCCGCTGAAGACTGTACCATCAATAGTAACGTAAAGCGCTCCTTGTGTCGGTGGTGCCGTTGGAGGCGGTGTGCCATCCAAAGTCAAGGATCGTCTTCGCAATCGATTTGTCGACTGAAGCAGGCTTGATTCGGTCAGATCATGGCACGCAACAACGCCCATACGCGAAAGTGCCAAGAGAATGCCACAGGCGAGGTTGCTGCGCTTCATTGTCGACGCTTTGTAGGGTAGATTGCAAAACAAATATCGCGAGTAGCTGAAAGTCGTTGTGTTAGAGTGTTTCGAAAAGGAAGGCTGTTGTCGTTTCAGAGTAAGATTCTTGAAGATGTGCGGTGGAAGCAACAATGACTCCGTCTTCGACAACAAGAGTTGCGTTGTCACGATAATGGGCGTGTCCACGATAATGAGCAATCCGTGGTGCCTTCCACTCTAGTAACACGATCCGAGTACCAAACTCAGTAGAGGTGCATTTTTGTCGCCTACCAGCCGTACCGGTACCAGCCGCGCCAGAGCCGTGGCCGTTGGAGTCGAGTCAGTCATACTAGTACTGGTAATAACTAAGACCATCGACCCTTCTTCGGTGGAGGAGGCAGCGAAGACGAAGACGATCCGTAAAAGCTGTCACGTTGGTGTGTGGCTCCCAATCCACTCTTATTCCAACGATTCCGCGACTGAGATTTGGAATCGCTACTGCCATTTCCTCCTCGTCGTTGTCGGCTCTGTGATGCCAGCTGCCTCAGTTCGTCCGGTACGGGGCGCTCTTCTCGGTCCATGGCCCCGAGCAGTACGTGTCCGATATCTGCATCCTGTGGAGTTCGCAGCAGCGTATAGGCAGCCCCTTCCTTGACGGCATCGTCCTTCTTGGACAATCGACCCGCTCGTCCTACACGATGCACGTGGACATCCAAATTCTTGGGTGGATCATAGTTGATGACAGTGGTCACGTCGGGAATATCCAACCCCCGAGAAGCCACATCTGTGGCAATCATGACAATGGGTTGCTCCGATTGTTGCTTGACAAACTTCCTGAGCGCAGCATTTCGATCGGACTGATGTTTGTCTCCGTGTAGTGTGACACATTGAATCCCTGCTTGCCCCAATAACTTGGCTGCTAATTCTTCGCAACCAACCTTGGAGGCACAAAACACCAGAGTCCTTCCAACTCCCGCCAGAACGGGCAACATTTGAGTCAACCAAGACAGCTTGGCATGTACCGATGGCAGGACCATGACGTGTTGCTGTACATTGAGCGAGGCTTGACCGGTACGCCCCACGGCAATCCGGACATAGTCTTGTTGTTGTATGCCAATGCCTGCCTTGCTGCCTCCATTGAGCCATTGCTGTGCCACTGTCTCAATCCGACGGGAAATAGTGGCACTCAGAAGCAATGTTTGTCGATTGGGCCGAATATTCTCCAAGATTTGTGAAACCTGTGATTGGAACCCCATATGCAAGAGCCGGTCACATTCATCCAGCACCACCATGGTGGTTCGTTGCAAGGAAACTCCCGACACCTTTTTGGGATTGAGGCTACTAGCTTGCTGTTGCTGTTGTGACGCCAAGACATCCAATAGCCGCCCTGGTGTCGCAATCACAATCTCGACGCCTCCCTTTTGTCGCAATTGCTGCACCAATGGATACTTTCCCATCCCCCCAATAATGGTAACACTGGTCCCTCCCAGAGGAGCAATCATGGCCTGAGCGTGTTTGTGCACTTGGAGTGCCAGCTCTCGTGTGGGTACCAGGACCAATCCAATGGGTCCCGTTTCGTGCGGTTCAAAATGTCGTTGCGCACACACATGCACCACCATGGGCCAAATATACGCCAGTGTCTTGCCACTGCCCGTGGGCGCTGTAATGAGCGCGTCGTGTCCACTCAGTGCCACTGGTAGCGTCTGCGATTGGACCGGTGTGGGATGATGATATCCTGTCTTGCAAATGTGCTGCAAGAGTGCATCGTCCAGTACATCTTTGAGTTCGAGAAAGTCGTAAACGGGGGAAACGGCTGGGTTGTTTTGATAGTGAGGTGGTTGAATGACAATCCCATGCTCGCCCCTCCAAGATTGATGATTGTTGGTTTCAGAAGTAGCTGTAGTTGTAGAGGTGGGTTTCCAGAACACTTTTTCAAAGTCTTCGTATTCCATTTGTTGATGATTGACTTTGGCTAGTTGAATATCCACGTGTTTCGATTGTGATCGGTCTATCATGGTCTCATCATCTTCATCTCCCTCCATTTTGGCAGTCGATGGAAGCGTGCCATTTCCTCCCTTGTACGCACCCGCTTTTTGAAAGGTTTGCTGCATCGCCCGTTTGGCCACGGCTGATGACTTGACAAATCCATCCCTGTCCAAATCATTGTCATCTCGTTTATTCTTGGTACTACTGCTGTTGTTGGCAGCTGCTGTATTACTAGTAGTCTCCCAGTGACTGGTGGCTTCGTCTTCATTGCCCAAATCCATGCGACCAAAAAGAGCCGATTGTCCCGTGCCACTGCTAATACTGGATCCTTCCATGGAGGAAGACATTGGTTTGACGGTAGTAGTTTTGTTCAACGTATTCATGTACGCATCCAAGGGATCTTCATCTTCCTCGACATCGCCTCCTACCACTGTTTCTCGTCGCGACGGCGTGGGATCCATCATGAGTGACAATGGACCTGCTGATCGTCGTCGTTTCTCATCGTCACTGCTGCTGTCATCATCACCGTCAAACCAGCCCATGGTCAACACCGAAAGACTTAGTATACTCTACTGTACTAGTGAGCGAGCTAGCTTGTGGACAGCTCGATCCTCTGCAGCTTCTCTATGGGTTCCGCAAAGGCAACACTGTAGTTGTAAGGTGTTTGCTGGGTTTTGCCCCCCGTAATGGTCCTCAATTTCTTGCCCCTGATCCCTCCGAACCTAGTCCTGAATTTCGACTGTTCTTTGCTTAAGCCTGGCCCCGGCTGGCTTCCGTAGCTAATTTCCCTCCTCTAAACCCCCTTATATATGCGTTTGCTGGGTTTTTGTTGCTTGCTTTGTTTTGAAGCAGCCAAATAGCCCTAACTCTACTGCCAACTCAACACTAAAATCAGACTCGACTCGACTCGGGACCGAACCAACGTTACATGTAAAAGATCCGAAAGTTGAAGATTTTGTGGCTGTTTGCCACCGGTGGTATAGTGGTACCGGTAGCTTGTTGTATTGTATGGAAGGCAAGGTCCTGGGGATGGAGTTTGATCCAAGTTTGCCTTGGTCCAACTATTGGTCCTGGAGATGGGGTCGGGTGTAGGCTCAGAAGTATGACTGTGAATCATTGGTCTGGTCCAGAACTTGACCCAGCCTAGCTAGAAGCATTGGCTCTGTGGGTGGCACAAACATGTGCATCCAGTGGGTCTTGGTCTTACGTGATTATGCTGCTTTGATTGAATGGAATCGTTCCTTGGAATCGAATCTATCGAGTGACAGTCAGGAGAGGTGTGGTCTGGCTTAAGAAGTTTGATGGCACGTCAATCGAGACAGGAGGAGAAATCAGAAAACAAGAGCAACCAAAACATTACGATAGCAAGCGATCATCAATACTTTACTAGAGTATAAATCTTCCAACTTCAGGTCTATGCCAGGACTTGGGGAAGGCATAAAAGCCGGGCCCAAAACCAGCAACGGTTCCAGTACGATTGCCAAAAAAGCTTCCCGGTATCATAAATCATAATCACAGGAGGCCAAGAATGTGTGCACTACAGAGTGTCGCCCAACGATTGTGACGTTTGTTTCCTCCGCTTTTGATTACGATAACAGCCATCGGCATCAACCGGTAACTGATGGCCAACGGAACAAGATTTTCGCAAAAGGGGGGGAAAGAAAATGGAAATTGCTCAAGTTTGAACCTTCTGTCTTAGTGATTCCCCTACAAATCCTACGGGAAAATCCCACCCCCACTTTTTCAAATCCCACTCGAAAGTGTCGTCCCGTGGGCTTCCGTACGAGCCAGCCTAGCCAAGGGATAAATCTTTGCCCATAAATCCGAGACGTCGGCATAAAAGTGAGAGTGAAGGAAATCAGATATATCGCGACAATGAAGAGAGCCGAGCGCGGCATAAAAGCGTTCTCGTGAATAGTCGTTACAGGCAACCATCTCTGGCATAAAAGCCACAACTTTTTCGTGATAAATCTAGATGAGCCGAGTGAATGGATTTATGAGACGTGGTATAGAGGACAGTTATCCATGGAAACTGAAGCACTCTCCTCTCCGAACGAGAGCGCAGTACTTGCCCCTGAAAATAATAGTCAACAGCTTTTGCAACACCACTCGCCGCCTGCAGCAGGTCAACAGCAACCCAACAACTCTGAAGATCTACTCGACACAAGAAGCAACACACTCTCGCCAATGATTCCAGTTGCTTCTGAGTTGACTGCAGCTGGAGGGACGTATCATCATCGGGATACAACTGCAGAGCCTTCTTCCATGACGACTGTCCTGATGAACCCAATGTTGTTTAAACCTAATAATAATGGTGCCGTTGATATGGACTATGAGGTATCATCATCCTCTGATAACGCCACGGCTCGTCCATATCCACCCTTGGATACCTCGAGTCAGACAGAAACGAGAGAGGCTGCAGCACCATCACAGCAAAACCTTTGCGAGGAAATCCGAGAACATGCCATGGATGAAATGAGGGCTCTGAACTATAGTGCTGCAGAGGAGCTCTTTAGGTATCTTTTGCACCTGGAACACGAACAGCAGGCGGATGATGAACAGATAATAGCCACATTAGCAAATATTGCCAAGTGCTGCGAATGCACAGGGCGTCTAGAGGAGGCCATGTCCTGCTATAAGGATGCTCTTCTGGTGAAGGAGAACAAAAACTTGCGAAATGAGTCTCAGTCCATGCAACTCTTAATGGCCAGCATACTATACGAGATTGGAATGATTCACTGCCAATTTCTCATGGAGGCTTCCACAGGAGATGGCAGTGACTCTTCTTCGGATGATGACGACGACGATGATGCCAATGACGAGGGCACTGACGAGCAGGCGTCACAGCAAAGGAGAAAAGGGAAGGAAAGGTTGTCCTTCACCAAGGCGATGAAAGCGTTCACAATGTCGCTCAAACTCCGCACGCAATGTCTTGGCCCTGAACACCAGACGGTTTCCAATGCACAGTTCAACATTGCAAACCTACTTACCGATGCTGGGATGCCTGAAGAAGCCATCGACTACCATCACAAGGCCCTGGTAACAAGACGGAAAGTTATGGGACCACAGCACCCAGCTGTAGCCTCTTCCCTAAGACATTTGGCAATGGCCTACAATGCTTTGGGCCACCTGCAGCAAGCCGAGAATGTCCTGAACGAAGCGCTGGAGATTGTAAAACGAATCCCTTTTGATGGCACTCTCCAGCAAGTGATGATTGAACTTTCAAACGTCAGACGAAAGCTGACTTACCACCTGGGCTTTCGGTAGAATACGTGTTGGATTATTGCCAATGGGGGCAATGGGTTGTCCCTCCTTCCCTTTCTTCACGGCGGTTGCCCGGGTCCATATATCGTACAGCACGCGGTACAGTATGCTGAAGAGAGTGTCTGTTCCTTGCAGCTTTGGTGGTTATAGAATCAGGGCTGGGGACATTTGAAGTATGATAATGAGTAAGAGAACATAGCCTATATCAGCCAGTAGCAAAGTTCCTTAAACCACCACGATTTGCAATGATTCGTCCCTCTACGGTAGGACTGTGGTCTTGGGGTGTTCAAATACAAAGTTGCTCAATCCATATACTGTTGTAGTAGTGTACCAATGTTTCCACCGCTCTCGCCTGAAAGACTCCGTAGCAAGAACCGGTAATGCTGTAGAACCGGTACCTAGAGAGTAGCAAGAATGGAGAAATCAGGACCTCCACTTCTTGTCCTAATTGACAGGCGAGCAATAACTCAGCATACCTTCGACCTTCGCTGAAGGGAAGGCCGGAGGTGTAGAGGATTCCTGTTGCAGCATGAGAGCAGCTTCCAACCACAGTTGTCGCGAAGGAGACAGCCCATAGCCTTGAAACTCCTTCGGGTTGGAGTTGCCGGCACTCAGCCGGTCTTGTGATCTATCTGTAGGACTGTGTGGTGCACGTATTGAAGAGCAACCGCTACGGAGAGGGCTTTAGAGCTTAGCCCTTCAGTTAGTTGATGATGACATTTCTCTTTAGGTCGTTGCTTGCACAACAAACACAGTTGCGAGAGCTTGCTGCTTTCGCAAGATTACTTTGTGTGCGAGGCAGAGGATGGATGAAGGTTGTGATGGATGATGATGATACCAAAGAAGTAATGATTTGATTCAGGAGGCGATAGATCATGCCGATCCAAAACGAACCAAACACACTTTGAATTTCACCTCTCGTTGAAGTGGAGGAAACGAAAGTGGTACCATAGTTGTGAATGTGAATCAATCTCCATCAAGCTTTTTTTCGGCATCCCATTGTGAAAGCCAACTGTGGTACGATTGTTTTGTAAGATTCCCTCCATGTCCTCCAGTCTCCCTTTGTGTGTTTCAGGCCATCACAAGCTCGTGGCGCCAACAAAAGGTCCTATAGTCCCAGCTAGCGCTTTAATGGCGACTCGAGAGAGGTTCGTAAGCCGGTTCGTACCGGTACCACTGCCGTGCCTTGCTGAAGCTCTTGCTGTCTTGCTTGCTCTTCAAGCAGAACGAAAGTGGTACCAAACTTGCTGGAACTCCGCGGGGTAACACGAGACACACATTGGAAAAGAAACAAAGACTCAGCGAAGTGAAACTTTCCTAAAATACTGTAGTACGTAACAGTACGTACTCTATTTAGGACTTACTTGACAAATTCACCTCGCAGTCGTTTCAAAGTTTGCTATAGAAACGATTGTTTTACTTCAAAAGGATAGTACTACAACGAACAGAGGGTTTCTCAAACCAAATAACAAGATTATAAATCATATTTTGTGGAGATGTGAGTGAAGAGCTTTGAAGGAACAGCGCTAGCTGAAGTCTCCCCTTAACTCATCTTGAAGATTTAACAGCATTCACAGTTGGATTGGCTTCAAAGGTGACTCCCACCACACGGTTGTTTTTCCGTAAAATGTACGTGTAGTCATACCGTACAGCGTACTGTAAAAGTGGGCCAATGGAGGGTCATAGGAGATTTTGAGGAGCTTTTTGAGGTGAATTCGTGAATTCAACCAGCCATCGCTCTCTAAATACTTTTTGTTCCACAAGTTGTTCCACACCACCAGCTAGCCAGCGCACCATCCAAGGAATCGTACATGCCAGACACAGATTCTAGGCGCGACTTTCCAGCAGTATTTTTTCAAGTTTCGCTACTTAGGAGAAAACAACCTCAGCGAATTATGGTGGTCAACCGCTTGGTACCAGCGAGGATTTTCAGAGCACGTGGATCTGTTGCTTTCAACAATGAGTGTCCATCCTACAGAGAAAGCAACGCTTTTCTTCTCTACCGATACCGTCGATAAAATCAGCAGAAATGGCGACGTGCTTTATGTCAATATGTCATTAGGGATATTCTCGCAGAGGCTACCCATCTTGAACTTCGCAGGCTGTTCTTGCTTGGACTGAACTGTCTCCTGGACTTTCAAATTTAACTGCAACTGAAGTCTTTTCCTCTTTCTATCTACTAGTACATGTACTGGCTAGCACGCCCATTCTTCAGCCTTGCCGTCGGCTAGGCTCTAGGTTATCGAGCTGTACCATACGATCACGAAAGAAAAAGGCAAAGGACGATCAATTGTCAATAACCAACAGCTCACAAATCGAAACTTGCCAATCTACAAACTCCAGAACCAAGCAGCGTTTCCTTCATGTTTCTCCCAGACGAATTGAACTCCAGTCTCATTATTTGCTTGCTTGACCAAGAGTAAGAGCATCTCTCGAACACAAATCAGCCCATTTGCCACTGCCAGCCAAATCAAAGCTCAATGACCCATCGTCCCTTTTTTCTCTTGTCACCTCCTTCCAGAGAGGTGCCAGTGAAGGTTATGCTTTCTAACACTGGAAATACGTACCACTTTCCCTCCCAACTTTTCCGTATGTTGAACAGTACTGTTGGGCCCGATGCAGTCGAAATCAGGAAGAGCATTGCTTGGCAGCCCCATGGGAGATGCTTCTTCATCCACAATCAAGAAGAGTTCTCTAAGAGCATCCTTCCAAAGTAAGTCTTTCAACCTTTGAATGGTCATTGGCTCCTCCTCGGCTCGTTTCACTCACAGCAGGATACCCTTCCTCTTCTCTCAGGTGGTTCCCTCGTCTCAAGTACCCATCCTTCCAGCGTCAGCTTCACAAGCATGGATTCCGCAGGCTTCACAGCCAAGGTAAGAATGCCACCCCAATGAATCGAGCATTATCCTCATAATCAAAGTAATTGAATGACATGGACTTACATCGATTCTTCCTGCCTTATCACACTAAAGGACCGGACAAGGGCGCGTACTATCACGAGCACTTCCAATGTGGCAAGGTTGAGTTGGTCCACAAGATTCATCCGGTCAAAGGCCGCGGCAAGCGTGGCAGAAAGCCCCAGGCCACAGAGCCCAACTTCCACAGCAGCCCGGAAGGTTCCCCAAAGAGCCAAGCAACTACGGGCGACGAGCGTTCAGTGAGTGACTTCACGCTTAAGGCCAACAATTCAAGCGAGAGCCCCCAGCAAAAGTCGGACCAGCTTGCTTCAAACGATATCTCCATCCGAGAAACCACCGCTCGAAGCTTTGCAGATCAGTTGTCCGAGCTCCGAGGCTCGTCGTCCGTGGACATGTTCTCGGCAAGCGCTGCGGCCCCACGCATGTTCCAGACCGCTCAACAAGGCCAACTTCCCACGGATCTAGGCTTCCCGACAGTCCCAGCACCCCCAACAGCTTCACGATCAGAGAGTATTTCCTACCTCCTCAATGCCCCACTTCCTCAACTCCGCGCGGGCAACAGCATTTCCTTCCTCGATGCGCCACTTCCTGCTCTCGGATCCAACAGCCTCTCCTTGGCTTCTGCGTCGCTCCCAAACGCTCCCATCCAGTTTGACGACAACAACTCGATGTACCAACATGGATCCATCGGAAACAATAATGTCGCCAGGCTTCCTCTCTCCTTTACCCACACATCATCCCTCCAAGGATCGGCTTTGAGGAATGTCCAGGAGTCCGCGTTGAGATCACTCTCAACAGTGGAGGAGGACCAAAGCCTCATTGCCCAGCTCATGAGTAGTGCCAACGCTACTGACAACAACATTCCACGTGCCATGAGCCAACAGCAGCAAGAGTTGGAAATGGCACTCATGCCACGCCCCCTACGAGAAGATGTTCCCACTCAGCAACAGCAGCAAGGGCAACAGCATCAGCCTCAATACTCGGAGCAGGAGCTACAGGAGCTGATTCATCGCCATGCACAGCAGCTCCAGCTTCAGCTAGAGAACATGCGGCAGTTGGAGCAACAACTCCAGCAACAGATCAACAAACGACAGAGGGACGGCGACGATGAAGATCCTCGCAGCAAGCGAATGCGCAGGGACAGCAGCGATTGGTTTTAAACTTGATTTGGACATGCCTGTTGTGACGAACCCCCTTCACAACTAATAACTGCGCTACACTGCGAGTTCCTAGGACGGGGCTTCTACATGTGAAACACTTGACAAACTATACCGACACTCTGTAGCATCAACTTCTTCAAGGGCAAGAATCCCTCCTTAGTTAAGCATACATCATCTAATAAATCTTCACTATTCATTCATTTCAGTCAAATAGAAGTGTATCTTCTTTGTCCTTGTCAACTACAATAGATTCGTGTGATTGCTTGGTTGGAACCACAGCCGCTGCAGCTAGAACCTCTATGGTCAATTCAATTGCACTGCAACAGAGGTCTCGAAATAGAATAGTATTGCTTGGCTGGTATTTGAGATCATCCTCCCTGGTGTTGTATTGGAGATTGGAGTTGTTTTGGTTTCAGAAGTTGTGTTAAAAGTTGTGGCAATCAGCTCGTCGCTCCATTAAGTTTAGGGTTATTTGAAGTTGTTGAAGGGCCTGCTCTGGATGCAGTTTTCTCCTGCATTAAATTTTTGGCTGGCTAGCTACATGTATGTATGTCTTAGCTCAAATTTTGGTTGAGTTGTGGTAGCTAAGGAAGAACAAAGCCAATAGAAGCTAGTAGAAGAAAGCAAGTAGGACATGTCAGGCTATTTCTTTTGCATTGGCATATAAGGGGGGTTTTAGAGTAGGGAAATTATCTACGGAAGCCAGCCGGGGCCAGGCTTAAGCAAAGAACAGTCGAAATTCAGGACTAGGTTCTGTGGGATCAGGGGCAAGAAATTGAGGACCATTACGGGGGGCAAAGGGTTTGGCTTTGCGGGATCCACGGAGACATAAATGGGTAGCTTTCACAAGGGCAATTGAGATACGGGTCTGCATGAAGAACATCATTTGAGAGTAGGAAAATTGAGTTTTGGAGGCAGTAGCAGAAGCAAGGCGTTGTAAGAGAGTCTTGGCTTGAGGGGCAAGCATGCCATCCACTGAAACAACAAAGGGGTGGAAGGAAGCGCGATTGGATTGGTTGAGGAGGAAAAAGGAGATCATTAGGTACTTCTTGCTATCTACGCTCGCTCTGATAACAAGCTAGTAGAAAAAGTTTGTATGGAAATCAGGTAGATCTAGTACTGGTAGTTGTTGCTCGATTGGTCAATTCAGTATTGACTTATTGCAGCAGGAAACTCAATACAATTATGGTATTGTTCGTCATTTTACAAAACCAATTGAAAAGAGCCCTGGCCACCAGTACGGTACGTAGCTGCCAAAGCAGTGCTAAAAGACCTCCAAATTTTTGAAAGCATGCTGGCTGGTTTGGACGCAGTGTGCGAATTGTTGATTCGATTCGAGGATTCATTCTGTATCTCCTAGCTAGCAGTGGAGATGCAAATGATGATGATATTCCTAGCTAGCTAGTCATCATCGACGCTTGGGCATGCGATGACAAGCTTGACAAGCCGGGGCGCAATCTTCGAGCATCCAGCGTGGATTCTTCTCACATTCGCCTAAGGAAAACGAGATTAAACAGGTTGTTGAGCACAATCCATTGAACAAGGAGAAGGTATCTTTGGAAATGTTCCGAATTCAATATCCTACCGCACTTACCCAACAAACTCCAGTGACTACAACCTCTGTGTTTATTTCGACACTGATCTTTCTTGGCATAGACGGACTCTTTCATGTAGGCTTCTGTCTTTTGAATAATGTATTGAATTTCATCCTTGAGGGGTCCATATGCAATTTGGGGTTCGTCGTCCCAATGGTTTTCGACAAAGGAGGGACAGGAATTGCAGCTGCAGGGACAAGACTCCAACATGAATCCATCGTTGACTTCACATTCTCCCTCTTCGGCCCACTCGGCACATTGCTCGTGTGTATCGACACATTCTCCCGCAATGAGAAAGGCTTCCAGCTCGCTGCTGGAGACATTGTGATGAAACGCACACGCCGCCGCGGGACCTGGTGGTTGTGCTGCTGCCAACCAAAGCACCGCCACAGCGATAACGGACGTCAAGAGCGGAGAGAAGGACATGTTGATTGATATAATATATTTGATCAAGATAGATAGTTAGCTAGCTAGCGTCGATTAGATTGTCTTCTTGTGCGCCCGAGGAGCCTGGAGATGCTCTGCTTCGAAAGTCCCGAGTGTCCGTCGAGAACAACGGCAACAAAAACAACGGCCATTCTCTCGCGTAAAATATCTAATGCTAGCTAAATGCTTCGCATCATTGAGGACCCAATTGAGTCCTGTTTCTCACTATATCTCAGAATTACAACTCTGCTGTGTTACGTCTGACAACCGTCCTGATTTTGCAACGGCCTTCTGCGTCACTCCAATCACTTTCGCCATCAACCAACCACTCGAAAGCCCAGCAACGTAACGTGCCTGGACCTATCTTGGAACAGGTTAGTTTGGCGGAGTGGTTGGAGTTGGCACAAAAAGCATCATACAATCTTAGAAGCAGGGAGTCCTACGGTAACAAGAAGCGAATTGCCCTGCAGTTGACACCGTTCTGTCCACCAGAGTCGAGTCTGTCTTCTCCGATGTGTGGGTATCCGTGATTTGATGGATTGATTGGAAGGCATACCTTCACAACAAGACTATGAAACTATGATTACTACAGTGCTGAAACATCAGCCCACCAAATTCGCAGTCTATGCGAGACTAGTGGCCCGACGCCATGCCAGTGCCGTTGCCGCCTCCTCGGTTGCTGCTCCTATTGCCGCTGCTACTAGTGCGACCACCACCACTAGCACTTTTGAGCTATGTGACCCCAACCCGGAATTGGTAGATGCTCGCTTGGCACCATCCAATTTTGTGCCTTCATTGGCCGTTGTCTATCGAGACTTTTGCACGGAAGAAGAAGCACAGAGTCTAGTATCGGATGTGCAAGTTTGTCTCAAAAGGTAAGAGAGAGTTTCTGCATAGTATCGTATTGTGGATGGGATGGGACGATGTTGTTGGTAGTGGTATCTCCTGGAAGGAATCCACACGTCTTTATCTTTGGGGGTATCCGTGTTCCACGTGTTTCTGTGGGGCATCCGTTTGCTCAATCTTTCTATTTCCCCCTTCTTTATTCAGACGACGCTACGAAATGGGCCACTGGGATTCTGTCATTGTCAACTACAAAGAAACCGAGTTGCACGACGAAGAGTCCATCATCTCCTCGGATATTTCCAAAAACCTGCTGGACCGCGTTCGGTATCAATTGCAAGAACGACACTTGTCCCACAAAGACTTTACGTGGCTACCCTGTCATGTCATTGATTTGCACAAGGACGGAGAATTGAATGCGCACGTCGACAGTGTCCGATTTTCGGGAGATATCGTTGCTGGATTGAGTCTGCTAAGTCCCAGTATTATGCGACTTGTCCCCGATGACGATGGGGATGTCAAACATGGATTGGTCGAACGCAAGAAACACGAAGCCGCCGTGGGTGTCAATTGGGTGGATTTGTATCTGCCGCCACGATCTCTCTACGTGTTGGCGGATGCCGGTCGGTATCATTACAGTCATCAATTGTTGCCATCCGGGTCGGTCTTTTGCAGCAATGAAGAAGAGGGACCCATTACCGTCCAACGGGATCATCGGATAAGTGTCATTTTTCGTGATGCCAAGTAAGTAAGTGTCAAAGCAAAGCAATACACTGACTGGATGGAAGTGGAGTTTGTACCTTGGCTGGCTGCTTGTGATTAATGCATACATTGGAATTACCGTCTGATCTTCGGACAGGACGAGAATCTGCGGCTTGAATGAAGCAGTGGCTGTGTACTTTTGTTTGCTCCGGGTCGTTGAATGCTAAGCTGTCTTCTGTGATCTCAATTTTTTTATTGTTTCGCTTGTTTCTCAGGGATTGAGTAGAGTGAATACAACCAGCCAGCCAGCCATGCGAAGAAAAGTTAGTTTGCATTGCCAACCAATACTACAGTACCGGTAGATAGAAATACATGATAAAAAGATTGCTAACAATACTAGCTGCTTATCACGAAAGGGAAAGACGTCACGACGAGACGAAGAAACGAAATCGAATCGACATGTAGTATACCTCTCTCATGCGAACGATTGATTAGGGGTGGCCTACCGGTAGCTACCAGAGTAGGGAAGACGGCACAATAAATTTCTATCAAGAAAATAATCACGCCCACCGTGAACAATGATATTCTGGTGGAAGCCACTATCTTCTGACGAGGGCCAATGAGAGCCAACCCGCCATGAGAGCGATTCCGCCCACGGGTGCTGCCTTGCCAACACTTCTATCTTCGGTAATTGCGACGGCGTAACAGGATCCACTAAAGAGGGCCATACCCACCGTCAACAGCGCTCCAGATACATTGGCCATGCGTACGTTTTTTCGTCCGCAAATGGAAGGAGTGGCCACGAGGAGAATCGAATGCAGGAGATGGAATCTTGATCCACTTTCATACGTCTTGCCGTACGCTTCTTTCGATGGCTTGAGGCCATGAGCTCCGTACGCACTCGTGCCAATGGCAGCGCAGCCAGAAATGCCACCAAGGACTCGTTGCCAGGCAAGGCTCATACTGCAGTACTTACGGTAGAAGGAGGCTCCTTACTCACTTATTTCAGAGATCAATAGGATTATCCAGCAGTTTGCGAGGGTAGAAAGAACCGAACATGAGGCGGAACCTGAGACCCGACAAGGGCAACAAAAAACGTTTTAAGCCAGCTGATTTTCTTAAAGGCGAAGATCGGGAAAACCTTCGCCCAGGGATGGGTGCTCGGCAATGTTGCGATCGGCCGCATGCTATGCAAATCTGGGGATAGGACCGGGCAGCTAGCTAGGTTTGGGGAGCCATGCGCAGTAAGCCCTTCGTGTTCTTGATGAGAGCCCGAACGCTTCGGGAGGAGCTTATGGGGCTTTGCCAGACAATGGAGGTCTCGATGGAGGCTGTTCGAATTCGGAAAAAGGGAAACTCGCCGCAACCACCACTAGAAAGAGAGTCAAGTGATGGTTCTGTCAAATCTCTGGCACCCATCAGCGCTGCAACAGGCGAAACTTCGGAAGGGGTCCTCCTTGTGGTCGAAATTGTAGCGGGACGAAACTTATTGATTGGCGGCAAACATAGCTCTGATCCCTACGTCCAAGTCATGATGCGGGTAGCGTCTTCTGTTGGTTTTCCAACAAGGCCAAAACCTTCGAAAGCTTTTCTTCCATGCTCTTGATTTCATTTGAAAGCTTTTCTTCCATAGCATTCATGTCCTTTCTGACTTGATGGAGCTCCAATTCCAAGACACTTTGTGTTGTGTTCTTGGCTGCAACATCCTTATTTGCTTGGGCTTTCTCTTCCTTTGTCGGAACCCAAAACAAAAATTCTCTGACACTGGCAGGCCAAAACGCTCCAAAGAAACCTAGCCCTATGAGAACCCACAGCGATAACGCTATGGCCGAGAGAAAGCGCAGCACCATTGTCAGCCAAAACATTGGCGAAAGTGTTCCTAGACCCTTGTCTTCAAAGACCGACGTCAATTTCTGCCAAGTCCTGCTGGACGCCGCTGAACAGTCGACTTCGCAACAAAGGTCAATTTCACACCTGCCCCCAAAGAAATTTATTTCCCTTTTCTTCGAAGCAAATACTGACCCCACTTCTGCGAGATAGTTCATCCGGTTCAACCAGAAACCCTGGCTCGTTTGTTCTTTACTCCAGATATCATTCCCAATGATGAAGGCCAACACATTGGCCAATAAGAGGACAACTGCGTAGACAAATACAACGTAGAGAAAGATGGAGAAGCCATTCTTGGGAATGTCATCTTCGCTGACTTCTCCAACTGACATGGTATAGACCTTCAGCAGTGCATCGAAGAAATTGCAAAAGTCAGATTGTCGGGTGCATTCTTCAGTTCCAGTGGTGGAAATGTAGAGCATCTCTGCAAAGGCTACCAAGACAATCGTAAAAGCCAGCATAAAAGCCATGATTTTCTTGGCCGTCGTGACGACCCCGTTTGTAATTTGAGCAAAGTCAACAGATACCAATCGAAAGAACGCAACTAGCGCCCACGATGTCATTGCAATGGAGATCACAGTTAGTGCTCTCCAAAACGTTGCTTCCTCGCTTGAGAACGGAGATCCCTCTCTTACTGTCATTGTCAGCATGAATATTGAGATGACCAACGTGTACATGCCGAGCAAAATATAAACCAATTCCGCTGGATGCCTCTGCAGTCGACAGAATATGTTCC